TCGCCGATTCCAATAGTTCGATTCCGATTCCCGAGCAAAACACGAAGTTCACTTTTATCTATCTAAAGATGTGGATTGTGTAAAGTAATTTATATAACAAAAAACAAACAAACAAAACTTATTAAAACAAACTTAACAAAACAAAGCCTGCAAGAAAACAGGCTTTTAAATAAGCCAAAAACCATAATAATTCATTGACAAAATAATTAAATAATTAGAACTTTTCTGCAAGTGACCGCGAACTTTTTGAACAATCTAGAATACAAAAATTACTTATGGGGAATAAGGATAAAAGTTTTAAAGTTAACAAGGAAAGTTAACAAGGAAAGTTAACAAGGAAAATCAAGGCCAGTATCAAGCTTTCAGGCATTCTCAAAATGTACGAGGAGTTGCTGATCGGAATGGAGTTCGATGTGGCTGTGGGTTTTCTGACGAAATTGCCCGACACGATCACTTCGAATGAATTGTTCCGGTAAGCTGGAATCCTGATCGCCTTTTATATCAAATTAGTCTGTAAATTAGCATTCAAGAACTTCATTTTCAATTCTAGAAACATCGACTACTTGATGCGAACGAACGGCAGCTCCGAGAACGGAAAAGGCCGCAAGAAGTTCAATCAGGTGAGACAGAAATGTGAAATTTTCATTAATTTCCATTAATTTCCATCAATTCTTCACAAATCCCACTTTTAGCCATTAACAAAACAGTTTTAAACCTTAGAATTATCTAAAGATTCCTATTTTTCAATTTCCAGATCCTCCAAGAGGTGAACGAGCGAATTTGCGGCTCTTCTAACTTCAATGGAAACACTCCATCAATTCATCAAATCACAGAAAACCTCCAGGGAATGAAGATGAGCAAAAGCCTATCGGAATTCGTCAACGATTTGCTCAAATCCCCATAAATTCTTTTGCAAAAAAAGGAAAATCTTCGAAGCAAGAGGAATCGAACCCTCAAGCTTCGGCCCACCGTCACCCAACGTCTTAACCATTGAGCTATCCACGACACGTTTCTCGCTCTCTCAAAAACCTTTCTAGTGCCATTTCGTGTAGTCGCTACTCTTGTTCTTTTCTAAATTTCGATCTCACGACGAGAAAATGAAGCGTCTCTACTATACCGTTTTCTCTCTCGCGTCGCCTAAATTCCTCGAAATCTCGAAAACCGCTTACCAGAACCTATCGATGTGGGGTCGGAAAATGTAGCTGACGATGAGCTCTAGTGGGGGATTTGAGTGTTGAGCTTCTGTGAAAGCTTGGGAACAATAAAATAGACACCAACTCGGCTCGCCGGGGCGCACGACTATTAGAGAAAATACGATATATGAAAAAAATAATCGCTGTCCGTCCGGCGTCCCCTTCGAGCATTTTAAAAAACGCTGAAACACGTGTTTAATGAAATTTCATGTGCTCTTTCTGCAAATTCTGCAAAAAGTCAAAATAGGTGGTCACTGGCGGGGGTCGAACCCGGGTCGTCTGCGCTTGAGCGCGTTGTCCACTGCGCGGAATCCACTGCGCGTAGTCCACTGCGCGTAATCCATTGCGCGTTATCCATTGCGCGTAATCCACTGCGCGTAGCCACTGCGCGTAATCCACTGCGCGTTATCCAACTGCACGTCATCCACTGGGCGTAATCCACTGCGCGTAGCCACTGCACGTTATCCACTGCGCGTAATCCATTGCGCGTAATCCACTGCGCGTTATCCAACTGCACGTTGTCCAACTGCCCGTTATCCACTACGCGTTATCCACTGCGCCAATGCAATGCAATTTGCAACGCTAAAATTTGCACGATGAAGTTTTCCAACACAGGGATTTCGTTCCTGGCAATCATTTTTACGATCGCTGAAGCAGACGGGGTAAATTTGTAAATTTGAGCTTTAATCGCAATTTGGAGAATTTCCTTTTTCGGAATCCAATCAAATTCACAATTTTCCTCAGAAAAAAAAGCCCAATTTTCATAGAATTTCTTGGAAGAAATCGGAAAATTTCAATTCGGCGATTCAATCAAATTTTCGCGTCTTGTCAACCTTTTTTTCACTCAAAACAAACGGAAAACTAGTGAAAATTAGTAATTTCGACTTACAATCTCCTAGCTGAATAGCTTTTAGTCAATAAAACATAGTTTTCTTTTGACTTTTAGCTAAATTTGGCTAGATTTGGTTGGATTTGGCTAGATTTGGTTAGATTTGGCTAGATTTGGCTAGATTTGGCTAGATTTGGCTAGATTTGGTTAGATTTGGTTAGATTTGGGTAAATTTGGCTAGATTTGGTTAGATTTGGCTAGATTTGGTTGGATTTGGCTAGATTTGGTTAGATTTGGCTAAATTTGGCTAGATTTGGCTAGATTTGGCCGGATTTGGTTAGATTTGGCTAGATTTGGCTAGATTTGGCTAGATTTGGGTAAATTTGGCTAGATTTGGCTAGATTTGGCTAAATTTGGCTAGATTTGGCTAGATTTGGCTAGATTTTTGCTATACTATATAGATCTTTCTAAATTCATTGAATTTTCGTTCTTAAGCGAAAAAGAAAGTCATCGTGAGGTCGAGATTTGGCGAACTACTTGCTTAAGCCTTTTGATTTTGATTTCTTCTGATTTCTTTTGATTTCTTTTGATTTCTTGCCTGAATTTCCCCCCCAAAGAACACTCGCATTTACATTCAAAAACGTTGCTCCAATTACCGTAATTTGTCTTATATCCTTTGTCTTATATCCTTTTTCTTATATCCTTTTTTGCTTTGATTGAATATCATTTAAAATCTCTAATCGAAAGTCAATTCTAAGAATTGTCCACGGATTTCCCAAGGGATTTCCGAATCGCAAAAGTGTTTCCATTTCATTTCATTTCATTAAACACACGTATTTTTCTTCCCGTTTTCAATTGCAATCGTGAAAAAGAATGACGAAATTTTCTTATTTTCCCATTTTTTTTGTATTATAATTGTTGCAATCGTTTCGTTATTCATTGTTTTTTTTTGAATTTTTCTCTTCTCAAAAAGTGCCTGAGATTTACATGACTTTCTTGTTGTTTTTTGTCTTTTTTTTCTTCTTTCTTTGCTTTTCCATTTATGCTTCCATTTGGGTGCTCGAATTTATGAAGGCTTTCATTCGTTTCTTTTGACTGAATATCATTTGATTATGAGCGAAATCGCAATCCTTTTTTAGCTGGCTTGAACCACAGTGGCCAGAGCTTCCTGAGCTTGAGCTTCCTGGCAAGGGAAGGTTAACTGGCTGAGCGAAATGCTATGCGATCTATACCATTTGACGTAGAATTTTATGCTGATTCCGAAAATGTATTCCATTTTTGCTAAATAACAATCTGCGAGGAGTTATAAGCGTCTGAAGTTTTGTTAAGAAATTGTGGTCGTTTGGGTCTTAGCGGCATCCTCTTATCGGCCTCCTTGCGGGCTCGACTTGGTGCGGCTGTGGCCGAGTGGTACATCGTTGTGCGGAAACTAAATGCTTTAAATTGCGTGAGAGGCTACTGGCCGCCCTTCGTGGGAACTGACGAACAGTTGATGGCGATTGCTCAACATTACCTTATGGCTTTATATATGGAAAGCAATGTGCCAGATGGAAAGCGATTATGCGCGCGCACAAAGGACAGCCAGGACACTAGCCAGCAGACCTTGAAAGCAAAATATGAATCTAAAGTGGGGATCGAACTTGCGAGGACTCGCTCTGGAAACGAACGCTCTACGACTTAGCCACTTAGCCAGCTGCAATGGAGCGGGTCCGCAAGGAGGCCGATAAGAGGACGCCGCTAAGATCCAAATGACCACAATTTCTGAACAAAACTTCAGACGCTTATAACTCCTCGCAGATTGTCATTTAGCAAAAACGGGATACAGATTCGGAATCAGCATAAAATTCTGCTTCGAATGGTATAGGTTGCATAGCATTTCCCTCAGCCAGTTCACCGTCCCTTGTGGATTTAACAATTTATGACTGGTTTTCAAGGGTACTGTAACAGTCAGACTACCGTATACCGAGCTAAAATAGCTTTTGCGATTTTCTCTATCTTTTACATTTCTTCGAGACGACTACGATAATTGGGGTACTTTTTTAGAAAAGAGTTTTTCCCTAAAAAGTTGCCCAGCTACCGGGAAGATTGCGGTGACTGGGCTCTTCTTGACAACAACCTTTCTCTCAATTCGACGAATCGTATAGAGAACAACCTTTGTCTCGAATAACTGCCCCAAATACCGTATTCATTATTTGGAAAGACTACGGTAGCTGGGGCACTTTTTTAGGAAAGAGTCTTTTGTCTTTTTCTTTGCTCTAAAAGTCTCCTGCCCCAATTACCGTACTCTCTCGTGGAATTGATGTTTCAACTTTGTGCCAGATTCATTTGTGCGTGTCGATTCTCTCAAAGATTTTGCAGAAAAATAAAAGAAGTTACAACTTTGCAAAAACAAAACCCAGCTTTTCTTCGTTTTCAGGGTTTTCCCACAAAATTAGCGAGAAATTTTGTGAGCCAGAAGCGTTTTGCGGTGATTTTTCGAAGAGCGCTTTTATTTGGGAAATTTCCGCGGCTTTTCATCGAACTTGGAGAGACTTTCGGAGCTGCTAATTTCTACAATTTTTCTAATTTCTAATTTCCACAAAAAAAAGGTATAAATGTAACTTTTCTGGCGCTTTTTTCTCGCACTCCTGAACATCGACTGTTCAGTTTTCTGAAAACAGCTCAACATTTGTTGAAAGGACCCTTTCCTTTATCTCTGGACACTCAATTTGTCGTTTCCTTAATCGCTTCTGCACCAGAAAACGTGTGTTTACACATTTTTAGAGCGCTTCAAAGATTTTTCTCTTTTTCTTCATTGAATCTTTACATTCAGAACTTTAGCTATTGATCTTTTTTTGTCTAACTTGGAGTCAGGACGGTCAGCCAGTCAGCCAGTCAACCAGTCAGCCAGTCAACCAGTCAGCCAGTCAGCCAGTCAGGACGGTCAGCCAGTCGGCCAGTCAGCCACCAAGAATATCCAATCGAATCGTACAAGCTCTCACTCAGAGTGGCACTCTCGTCAAACTTTTTTGCTTCTTTAAACTGTTTTAAACTGGTTCCCTACGTATTTACAAAGAAGAATCGAGTTGAATTTTATGTAGCTTTCAGAAATTTGATAATAAATGTTAAATTCAACTATCGGCTAGCAAAATGCCAACTTTGAAGGCTTCTAAAGGCTTTAAATAATTATAGACTCAAAAAGCGGATGGAAATTTGGCAAAAACATCCAGTTTTTGATCTCTTGAGTATATGTGTATAAAAACTCAAGTCAATAATTCAATGCAAATACGTAAGAAAACCGTTTTTTTAAAAAAGCAACAAAGTTTGGCGAGAGTGAGACTCGAGCTTGAGGGCAAAAAAAATGTTAAAGGTTTGGTAGTCTAGCAGACTATCCACTAGACCACCATAGCCGTTTGTAGAAAAGCGTGTGACGAAGCTAAGGAGCTAAAGGGCTTAAAATTCTATGCCAAATCCTAAATTCTATTCTATTCTATGGTGATTTTCTATCCGAAATTCCTCGAGTTTGCGAAGCGTTCTGCAAAAACAAAAAACTAATTCAAGATTTGCATGACCGACTCTATCAGATGGGCTTGGGCTGGAGTGGAAAAGCTAGCTGGGATGATTGTACAATCATCCCCAATATAATCGCAGAATTGCCCCCCCCCCCAGGTTGGGGGATGAAATTGCGATGTTTATCGCAAAATAACCCCAAGTAAAATCGCATTTTTACCCTCCACGATGGGGAACGATTGCGAGTCATTAGCTCGAGTCAAAAGGAAAGCCTGACTCGTTGCTTTACTTTAGTTCGGGGCTCATAAGTCATACCAGATTTGGCTTCTAGAGCAAACAGTAAAGCAAAGACGTGAAGCTGAGCTGAGCTGAAGTGAAGCTGAAGTGAAGCTGAGCTGAGCTGAAGTGAAGCTGAGCGGAGCTGAGCTGAGCTGAAGTGAAGCTGAGCGGAGCGGAGCTGAGCTGAGCTGAGCTGAAGTGAAGCTGAGCGGAGCTGAGCGGAGCTGAGCGGAGCTGAGCGGAGCTGAGCGGAGCTGAGCGGAGCTGAGCGGAGCTGAAGTGAAGCTGAGCGGAGCTGAAGTGAAGCTGAGCGGAGCTGAAGTGAAGCTGAGCGGAGCTGAAGTGAAGCTGAGCTGAGCTGAAGTGAAGCTGAGCGGAGCGGAGCTGAGCTGAGCTGAGCTGAAGTGAAGCTGAGCTGAGCTGAAGTGAAGCTGAGCGGAGCTGAGCTGAGCTGAAGTGAAGCTGAGCGGAGCGGAGCTGAGCTGAGCTGAGCTGAAGTGAAGCTGAGCGGAGCTGAGCGGAGCTGAGCGGAGCTGAGCGGAGCTGAAGTGAAGCTGAGCGGAGCTGAAGTGAAGCTGAGCGGAGCTGAAGTGAAGCTGAGCGGAGCTGAAGTGAAGCTGAGCTGAGCTGAAGTGAAGCTGAGCTGAGCTGAAGTGAAGCTCGTGGAAAACTGGTGAAAACTGGTGGAATTGCTGTTTGCAAGCATTGCTTTCTGTGATGTCACACAAAATAACTCCATAAAATCCACAAATAGAGTCCACAAATAAATATTTCTTTTTGGGTAACCCGTTCAACCTTCAAAGCCCTTCAAAGCCCTTCAAAGCCCTTCAAAAACCTTAGAACCTTCAAAAAAACTGCCATAATTGCTAATCTCCATTCAATTAACCAAATTTTTCAACGATTGTCTAAATCTTGTGCTTCCCCATCAAATGATAACACTTTTATTCAGATGATAAAGTGAAATGTGACCAAAATTGGAGCTCAAATGAGACCAAAATTGAATTGATCGAGGGTAAAATCACGCTTACAGTAGCCTTCTAAAATAAGTGCTTTTTTTTTTAGGGAAACTCATTAGCGATAATGAGAAATTCGGTGAATTCTGCGTAGCCGTATGTTTAGTACTGCATCTTTGTCAGAAAGCTACACACATTTAGTACATCTATTAATAGTACATCTAGCACATTCATACATCTAGTATATCCAATTTCCTTGTCCACATTCGAAAATCCGAAAATCCTATCGCATTTTACACAAAGCACACCATTTCGTACGAGAAAAAAAAGGCGGATTCTCAAGAAGTCGATTTCTCAAAAGCCTAAGCCAATTCTCAGAAAAGCAAATTCGAAATTGGATTCGCCACAAAAGAAAACACGAAATTTTCCATAATTTCCCGTTTCCGACTAATTTCGCGTCCAAAAATCTACTCGAAAATAGAAATTATTTCAAAAATTGAGTTCAAAGAAAACAAAAAAAACTGTTAGCTAACAGTTTATGGTGGAAATGATTAGAATAAAGTACGTTTGAGCTTTCTTGTTGCCGTGTAAATCTAAGCGAGACGCTAGTTTAGTGGCTAGAGCTAATAGGCTAGAGCTAATAGGCTAGAGTTCCTAGCGAGTGATGCGTATTTTTTGGGGTAGGCTAATTTCCGCAATTTTATTTTGCGCAACTCGCCATAACTTTCTTCTAAGTGGCCCAATTTTTTTGATTTTGGTGTCATTTTGTTGCACTTATTGAGATCTACGAAATGACACCAAAATCATAAAGATTGGCTGACTTAGAAGAAAGTTATGGTTGCGCAAATAAAATTGCGGAAATTAGTCTACCCTTGTTTTTTTAAAAAGAACACTTGCAAAAAAATTATCGTAGCGAAATTATTGCAAAAAAACTCATGAGTGCCGCCTTATATACGACTTCTTGTAAAGATATTTATTGTTTAGCGGTCTTTCTAGACAACCAACTAATGTAATTTCTTTGATCATAATCTATCGAACGCTATCGAAAGCCTAACTTTTAGTTCGACCTGTCTGAAAGACAATACGGTTCCAATACGGTTTCTATTTGTTCCCAATACGGTTCCAATACGGTTCCAATGCGGTTTCTATTTTGTTCCAATGCGATTCCAATACGGTTCCTATTTTGATCAAATATGGTTCCAATACGGTTTCTATTTGTTCCCAATACGGTTCCAATACGCTTCCTATTTTGATCTAATATGTTTCCAATACGGTTCCAATACGGTTCCAATACGGTTCCTATTTTGATCCAATACGGTTCCAATACGGTTTCTATTTTGATCCAATACGGTTCCAATACGGTTCCAATACGGTTTCTATTTTGATCTAATATGTTTCCAATACGGTTCCAATACGCTTCCTATTTTGATCCAATCCGGTTCCAATACGGTTCCTATTTTGATCCAATACGGTTCCTATTTTGATCCAATACGGATCCAATACGGTTCCTATTTTGATCCAATCCGGTTCCAATACGGTTTCTATTTGTTCCCAATACGGTTCCAATACGCTTCCTATTTTGATCCAATCCGGTTCCAATACGGTTCCTATTTTGATCCAATACGGTTCCAATACGGTTTCTATTTGATTCTAAAACATAAAATTTTCCTAGATGTTAATAGATAAAAGCTAAAGCCTAATAGATAAAAGATAAAGCTTAGTGTCAATAAATAAAAGATAAAGCATAAAAAGTTTCGTATATAGCGAAATTTCTAGAGAAACTCATTCAGCCAATTTCTTCGTAGAGCTTCTTCTAGATTTTTACGGTGAAACACGTTTTCATCCTCGAATTTGCGCTAAAAGTGAAGCGAAAGATTGACTTTAAAAGATGGGAAACTCAGCAATAAATTTAAAGCATTTTAAAGCTATTTAAAGCAAACTTAATTGGTGAATTTGCTATTTTTCAACGAAAGTATGAAAAGAATGAAATTAAACGAAAGTCTAACAAAGAAACGAAAGCCTTTTCTAGAAAGACTAACATTTTTGTGGTGTAGGAAAAAATGAAACCTCAAAACTAACAATTCCCCGTCAAATTTCCTCTTTAATGCTTTGTGGCTTTGATTTGAAAATCATTTTATCATAAAATTTTCTTCAAATTCTTCTGTTTTGTTTATCAGAGTCTCTATTTCAGAAGAATGCTGGTGGAGGTGTTGATAAATGGATACACTGGACAGAATTTCTCAACAGATTTCATCCCGGCTCAAGGAGGCGATTACATTAGAGAACTTTCATTTGGCGTTATCACAATTGCTTTCACTCTCGTCACTTTCGTTCTCTATGCGGTCGTTTTAAAAGTGAGTGGATTGAGGAAAATCATAAAGCGTTAAACAGTTTCTCATTGTAAAGACTTTAAGAGGGTTTAGAGAGGCAAGTGTTACGGTAAATAGTTATTTTGAGCGATAGATAAGCGATAGATAAGCGATAGATCAAGTAGTAGCAGTAATATTTAACATAGTAACATTTATCATAGTCCTTTGCAACATTTATGTATCATAGAATACTCAGAAATAGTCGCTTTTGAAGCCTTTTCATCTACAAATCTATTTTGATCATGTTTCGAACTAATAACTAATAGAAATCTTGTCATTTTCTTGCTTTTTTGTCACTAAATCAATAAAGATTACCTCCTTATCTTTATCAGAGAAAATAAGCACAGTATAAGCAAGTATATAAGCACGAGAACCATAAAAACATGGTTCTCGGATATTTGATACGCTCTCCAGCCCTTTTTCCATTAGCTAAACTTTGAGCTCAAACATCTTGACTTTGGGTTGTCGAATTGAAATCTTCTTGATAGCATTAGATGCGCCAAGTCTTTCTCTGTCGATTGGTACAAAAACTATTGAAATTGGACAGCCGAAAGCCAAGATATTTGAGCTCAAAGTTGGATTGCCAAAAGGGACGGGGCGCGTATAAAAGGAATTAGCAATCTAACTTTGAGCTCAAATATATTGGCTTTCGGATGTCCAATTTAAATAGTTTTTTATATCAATCGACAGAGAAAGCCTTGGCGCATCTAATAATACCAATAATATTTAAATTCGACAACCCAAAGCCAGGATGTTTGAGCTCAAAGTTCAGCTAATGGCAAAGGGGGCGAGGCAAATGTCCCACAAGCTAAAAAGATCCCATTTATCAAAGTTTCTCAAAGCTTTTACCAAAACGATCAAGAAAACAGCTCCGCATTTTCAGATAATCTACAATGAGCGGGATTTCAAACAGAATCACTCGCAGCGAATCATGTTCCATTTGGGAATCGCCGACTCATTTCAATTGCTCATTCACGCGTCAACGGGTGTATATCTCATCGCTCAATATGAAAGTTATGGATGGCTCGAGAAAGTGAGAAAGAAACGTACAAAGTTTAAAGCTGTATGTTCGGTAATACTTGTTGATAACTAAATCTACTGTAAATGTAGTTTAAAGCTCATTGTTTTATCTTCTACACATTCTCCGGGGTTTTATATTCAGTCCAAACTAGACGCCAGCTTGAAAAGCCGAAGCTGGAGTCGATCCCACACGGCTTTATGATAAACGTCTATGAAAACGCTAACCACTAGAGCAAGGGACTGTGCGATTAGCCTAAAAGTGTGATTGATGACTGCAGTCAACAAGAAGCAGTCAGCAAGAAGCAGTCAGCAAGAAGCACTGATGACTGCAGTCAGCACAGTGCTGCAGTCAGTTGCTGATAAAGGAAATGGTGACTTTAGTGCACCAGACAGGGTGGATTTATCGCTTTAAGCTCAAAGTAGACTAAAATGCTAGCATTCAAAGATCAAATTGGATTTGATAGCCATTATGATTAAACGATTCAGCAAACGTTATTGCTGAATCATTTAATTAGTGCACCGAAAAGGGTTTCAGTGTTTTTCAGTGCGTTTCCGTTTTTAAGCAAGTGCATTGTGGGCAGTGTGCTTTATGTAAAGTACTTTATGCTCAGCACTTGTAAACGTACCCTTTCCGGTGCACTTAACAACTTCAGATCCAAGGCGCAATCATGAATGGAATGTGGTGTACGAGTCTCGTGCACACGGCTCTTCTCGCCATCAACCGTGCCGTTTTCATCGTTTTCTTTCAAAGTTATCGTCGAATTTTCAAAGAACCCGTTTTCTATGTGAGTTTTTAAATGAATCATCTACAGGGTGCGCCAAAAATTCCCGTACTTGTATTTTCTGCATTTTTGGTAATTTTAGATAAAAGATCCGATTATAAAAGTAAGAAATTCGAATTCCTCACAAAAAACTGATTTAGAAAGCGTTTCTGGTTAATTTATAAGTGCAACGCTATTTAAGACAATTGATTGAGAAGCGGGCCCGCTCAGGGGCTCTTTGGTCGCACAGTTACAGGGCACAGTTACAGGGCACAGTTACAGGGCACAGTTACAGGGCACAGTTACAGGGCACAGTTACAGGGCACAGTTACAGGGCACAGTTACAGGGCACAGTTACAGGGCACAGTTACAGGGCACAGGCGCTCTGGTACAGGCGCTTTGGTCGCACATTTTTTTGGAGCTTCAGGCCTGTAACTTTTATGGATCAAAAGATTTTCAAGAGCCAAGATGTTTTTCGAAAACTAGACATAAAATGTGACATTTTTTATATTGGGTGTATAAAGTTTTGGTCAACGACCGAGTCAGAAGTCAGGTTAGAACTTGGTTTTCCCATACAAATTTCCATCAAAGGAAATAACTGTAACTGTGCCCTGTAACTGTGCCCTGTAACTGTGCCCTGTAACTGTGCCCTGTAACTGTGCCCTGTAACTGTGCCCTGTAACTGTGCCCTGTAACTGTGCCCTGTAACTGTGCCCTGTAACTGTGCCCTGTAACTGTGCCCTGTAACTGTGCCCTGTAACTGTGCCCTGTAACTGTGCCCTGTAACTGTGCCCTGTAACTGTGCCCTGTAACTGTGCGACCAAAGAGCCCCTGAGCGGGCCCGCTTCTCAATCAATTGACTTAAATAGCGTTGCACTTATAAATTAACCAGAAACGCTTTCTAAATCAGTTTTTTGTGAGGAATTCTAATTTCTTACTTTTAAAATCGGATCTTTTATCTAAAATTACCAAAAATGCAGAAAATACAAGTACGGGAACTTTTGGCGCACCCTGTATTCTTTCCTAAGGCTATTCTTTCTAAATCTATTCACTTTCAGATATGCATGACAATTTGTTGGTCATTTTTCCTTATCGTCACCATTGTTGATTTGACTGATTTCAGTCTCATGGTTTACGTCTTACCCACTTACACTTTTCAGTATTTGGTGAGTGGAGTAAAGTGCTTTAAAGCCTCGATCGGATACCGTAATCCTAGTCTAGACAGTCGATCTTACAGTAAACCAAGAGTTGCCTTTGGCTCCCTATCAAAATAACCACAAATTTAACGCAAACTTACGCAATTTAACGCAATTTAACGCAATTTAACACAGTTTAACGCGTTGGTGCCCAAGTCTTTGCAATTTTTTGCGAAACATTATTTAAAAACAATGCCGCCAGCAATAAAATTTCTTTTTAAACTATTAAAAAGCTTGATTGTTTCTCTGCAAAATGGGTTTTTGGAAATTCTCGAAAGTCGTTGTTTTTGAAGATTTTCAAATGCACAAAGGCAAGCACCCAAAACCTCTCCCAATGCTGAAGCCTTAATTTCAACACTTTCTTCAATACAAACCTATTTTGGTGAAAAAGTAAAAAAGATAGAGCTTATTTCATTACATAAGTCTGTAAAATTTGAAAACGATTCGTCTAGCAATTTTCTTTAAAACAGCAATTGAAAATTTTAGTTAAAAAATTTTAGAAAAAAAAAATTTTTACCGAGTTGAGACGAGCTTTCGGCTTTCTCTAAAAAAGCCGTTTTGTAGAGAAATGATAGACCAAAAGCTATCAAAAGATCTTTTTAATATTAGGTTGATGCAAAAGTCTTTTTCATTTTTTTCGTACTTCTGTTAAAAAGTAACGAATTCACGAATTAATCTATAGTTTGCTCTATAAAAAAAGTGTTTTTTTGTTCAATTTGCATCTTTTAAATGAATTTCGGTTCACTTTCAAAAATACCGACTGGGGCTACCAGTGGTGAATTTATCGCATACACGAAATATATCAATCACAATACAACGACACACACAATACTAGGCTATATCTTAACTTAACCCACGTCATGACAGACGGCTCCCTAACCCTAAGCTCAATGGGGAACTAAATAGCTTTTTTGGTGGTGAAGGGAAGATGACGATGAAGGAGTGGCTTGTCACTTTAAAGAACTGGGGCCACAACCACCAGACTGCCCTCCAGAAAACCTCTCAACCCGAAGGGAAAGGAAATCCGAAGGGGGTGACCATGTCGCATGTGGGGTTCGAACCCTCGACCTTCCGATTAAGATAAAGACACTTAACCAGTCAGCCACACGTGCTCTTTCAAGCAAATTCGAGAGTGAAAAACGCCTTTTTCGTAAAAATCTATAAAAAACTCTACGGAAAAATTGGCTGAATGAATTTCTCTGAAATTTTGGCGAAATATCAAACGTTTTTTTTCTCTATCTTTTATCTATTGACACGAAGATAGGTTTTCTTTAGCTAAGGTGTCTAAACCGCATCATCGAGTTAGCCCTTTTTGACTACCCGACTTCATACTCTCAAGAAAATCCAGGCATTCAATATTTTTAAACCCGTTTTAATGTTATTTTGCAGAAAAATAATTGCTTTTTCTAATGAAATCAACCGTAGTTTAATTCGTGCATTTGTTGGCTTGAAACGGCAGACGAAAAGGAACGAAAAGACTTATGCATCAACCTAATAGTTTCGGTTGCAACAGATTTGGTTTCTTTTTGGAACCCTTACTTTGGAAATTTACTTTGAACATTTGGTAAAGGAAACAAAAAAAATTTGCAAAGACTTATGCATCAACTTGTGCAACGTGAGGATTGAGTGAAAGTGATAGGAAGAAAGTGAAACATCGTGAAAGGTAGAGCGCGTTCCTCGCGAGTAAGTAATTACTCGAGTAAAATCTGCATGAGTACTTTTTACTCGATTAATCGACGTTTTTCATCGAGCAACTACGAGTAATCCTCTTTACACATCGAGTAAATTGAATATCTTTACATCCATTTCTGAACAAATCTTAATCCAATCAACGCATTGTGCAACAGAAAGACGAAAAATAGTCTTAGAACTTTTGTTGCCAACGAAATTAAGCTTACAAAGCTAAACAAGTTCAAATTTCGATCTGGATTTTAGCTGAAATTTGAAATTTGGAGCTTCTTTCGTAAAGTGTGTGGGAACTTTTCGATCATCCTCTACAATTTTCGTTTCTCACATCATCACATAGCATCATCGTTTAACCTTTGTTCAGGCCGAATACCCGTGGGGTGGCACAGTGCGCGAGTTCAGCAATCAGCTCATCCTGTACTCTGTTCTTCTCGCCGCCATCTCATACATCGTCATTTTCGTCTACGTTTTCACGCATACAGCGCCTTCGAAACGGGAACTTTTGCTCACGATACAGGTTCGAAATTCGAAATATTGCAATCACTTGAAGAAATTTGCCCACCTTTCACTCGGGGCATGCGCTCTAAAGCGTGACTCGACTACCGTAACCCGGCATTCATTTAGTAAAGGTTACAGTAACCCAAGTCACGATTTAGAGCGCTAATACCATAGCTTCTGCTTCAAGCTTCAAGCCAACGAAAAGAGTGTAAAAGTCGCCTCAAAAAACCCACACTTTCCCCATTTCTTCAGGTTTTCTTCATTTGCTCATATAGCGTTTTCGGCTACTGTATCTGGACGTATTGCCCGGTTGTGGACAGTCCAACCGCGTACTTTGCGTGCAATTTCATTTGGGTTCTTTGGAATGGCATCAATCCATACATTATGGTTTTATTCAATCGGTGAGTGAGCGCAAAAGTTCGAATAAATTCATAAATTCGAAATTTCAGAAAGATTCGTGAGGTGTTGACGAGCCATCGCTTCATTCAAATCATCACCGGGTGAGCGGTTGTTTCTTTGTTTGAGCTCAAAAATCTTAACCGTCTAAGTTCTTGTCCAGTTCAAACATTTCGATGTCTAGTTCTAACTCATCCGCTATGTTTCCACGGTGATTGAATTGTGATGTTATTTTGTCGACGTCCTTTGTCCATGGAATTGACAGATCGCAAAAAGTATCGGTAGATAAAAGGCCAAATAGAATCAATTTCTAACAAGATGTTCACTAACTCCTCGACATAGTTTAGTCTGGAAAGCAGCAAAACTCGCAATCCAATTGCTGAAAGAGAATTCTATCCGACAAGCCTTACTAACAATACACTTTAGTGACGCGAAATCACTCGCTTCAAACGTAAGCGTGATACCGCGTGCACGAGCGTCAAGCTTTAATCAAGTGACGGTGATCTCGAATCTCGCAAAGAACCCCGCTATCCGACCGGCTTCTACTCCGCCAAGGTGAATCAATAAAGATTTTCGAATTTGTTCTCACCCCAAAACTTTTCACAAAAACATTTTATCGGTAAAGTTCTATACAAAAACAAACAACATTGGTAAAAGATAACAAACAAAGCACAATCGAATAAGGGTTTAACAAACAATCATTCCTTTCGGCTATTCTTATCCTTTTGTTTCAACGGTTGCTGCAGTTGGCTGTGGTTTGTGCTGATCGTTGTTGTGCTTGAAGACGATAGATTCTCCCTAAATAAAAACAATGAAAAATTAATTTAGAATGGTTAACTTTTTGCTTGCAATTAGCCTCAAATTGTTTACCAATGCCAACACTCAGTAAACAAAAGATTGCAATGTGTTATAGACAAACTATTCATTTGGGTCTCGACTTAAAGCTCCATTTCTTATTTTTTTATGAAAATATCATACCTGAATTGTTATCCGAGGCTTAACAATCGATGACGCCCTTTTGCTAGCATCTTTGTGCACTTCGTATTTGATAATTTCCTCGTCGGGCACATTCATCTTAGCTTTGAAAATTTTGCCAATTTGACTGTTCACCGAATCCTGAGAAGCATCATGTGTCCATAGTGATATCTGAAAACAAAAGAGATTGCGCTTAAATAATAAATATCCAACCTTGTCACCCTTGTTGCGTACATTCAAAACCGCTCCACAGATGTGGTCTCCATAGTCGCCAAATTGCTCGCCAACAATCGCCATCAGAAGCTCGAGCCAGTAATCGTCGAGGAATTGTTTCCTGAAAAAAAAACTCCATTAACGAATATATGAATATTTTGAATCTGAAGCCATATAGCATCTTTTCAGCGAGTTTTCACCCGCCTTTACACAAACACAAAAACCCAGAGTTCATAAAACTTGATTGAACTAAACTAGTAAACGTAGGAGCCCAATATACCTTTTATGCTTATCGACAACCATTAACCATCGACCTCCATCAACGTTTTGCTTATCCTCCCACATTGGACGAATACCCTGAATATAACTTTAACCAAAGCAAACCGAAAGTATAGTACCTCTTTAAAAAGATAGTAGTCAGAGCCCCAATTGAGTGATGATGGCGCGGCAATGTTGTTGAACAGCGACCAAAAATCTTCAACTGAGTCGAACGCGATCACTTGCTGCAGACAATCTTCCCAATCGCGATTTCTGTCTGCCTAAATTCAACAAAAGTTGTAATGTATGCAAACTATATAAAGAGACGTTGCACACACAAAACTAATCCTACGACATAAAGTGTGTGGTTTATAAAACTAGCATTAACTTCATTTGTTTAACTAAACTGAACTGTTTAACTGAACCGTTCACTACGTGCTAAGGAGCTTCGTGAGCTAGTCACTCTGACAATAATTTCCTAGTTTAACATTAATCATTTAATCTTTGATCGTTATAATTTCATAATCTTTCGAGAATTTCTGAATTCTACTTGAAAAGTTATTCTTGCGTATTCATGGTATCCATGCATGCGTAAAAAAATAATAAATTGAGCTTTAAGTCGAAACCCAAATTAATAGTTTTTCTGTAACACATAGTAATCTTCTGTTTACAGAGTGTTGGCATTCTTGACAAGAAATTACGCTTATTACTTTGCGCTTGACAACCACCACAACAGCCCTCCAGCGCTCCATTTTCCACAAACAGCACACAAACTAACCTTCAGAAACCATAGTACCCAGCGACGTTGCAATTGATGACGAACAGGCAGCAGGGGCGGAGCGATGCCGGTCGTTGAATGGTTGCCGTCTTCCGTCAGTTTCCTCTCTGTTTTCTCGATTGCCATCACCTCCGATGACACTTCGCTGGACATCAGGTCTAAAATAAAAATTAAAGTGTCTGAGTCAAAAACAAGAAACGAGAAAAACAAAGACGACATAATATATGCCTGTGATCGTGAACCTCAATCGCTAAAATCAAAGATTTTGTCTTACCAATGATACGAGTTACAAGCCTGAAAACAAATGAAATGAAAAGAAATTCGCCAAGGCCTAACCATTTTCCCTAACGGGTAATGAATCTTCAGCCGCTCAACTGACTATCTTTTCTTTTCAAATAGATATTACAATAATCTCCTCGACAACCTTCATAGATTTGTATCAGAAAAAGCGCCAAACCTGCATCAATTTTAAACTTTTCACCGAATATGAATTCCTCCAATTCTACATTCCTCGCAAAAAAGGACTTCAGGTATCTTCGGCAGCACTCCTTCCTATACATTTCGAGTGTCCCCCCCCCTGTGTCCCCCTTTTGCCCCCCTAAGTGTCCCCCTCAAAGTGTCCCCTTTTTGTCCCCCTAAAGTGTCCCCCCCTAGTATCCCCCTATTTTTTTTCATATCAAATCACAACTTTTTGCTCTCCAAGGAAAAGGAACGAAAAGACTTTCTGGACAGCCTAATAATCACGAGGCTTGCTAATGTTTGCTTGTTTCTCTCACTTACTACGGTTTTTTAACATCTCCCTACATATACGTTATTTTTTGTTTACAGAGCGTAAGATGGTGTCGGAACAGCTGTGCAAATGCCCAGCTGGAACACACAAAGCCGACTACGCAAAGAATCTGCGATCGACGACAAAAGGACGAAGTAAGTTAAAACTTTTTTACACTTTCCTTTACGTCCTCTTTGTTCAACTAGATTGTTTTTAGGTAACCACTACATGGCAATGATGTCAACGAGTCAAGGAGATCGTCGTCATTGTCGTCATTGCTCAGACGTCAGCTACAGTGCGAAATCCGGACGCGTGTATGATCACATGTGGAGTCACTACCTGACGGAGCATTGTGCTGTGCTAGAAAACTTCAACAGAGACGAAGAGCGCCACCGCAGTGAAATGGCTTTTCTGTGTTCCGGGCTCGTCGGTCTCTATCGAACGTTTATTCAGGTAATTTTTTTCTAGTTATTTAATGTTTTTTCTATTTTTAGCCGATTGGGGGTCATCTATGGCAATAAACGAAGAGGTCGACTATTGCCATCAATTGTGGAATCGATGGTCAAAGTTATGGACGCAAATCAAGGATTCATCAAGACAAGGTATATCACTCTTTTTACCCATATTCATAATTTGCTTTAGAAAATTTCCCGCTCGGTACGCTCAGAAGTTCGCCGAACAACTGTTTGAGGAGGCTCAATTGGAAACGGCTTACGACTCGCTTGTCAATCCGCCGCTCTTCGATCAAAGCGATGATGAGGACGATCCGGACAAAGAAAATGAGAGTTTTGAAGCCGGAATTTAGTTTATTTTTGTTTATTGTATGTGATTTCGTTAACATTGTTTTTGTTTGGTAAAATAGTTACAAGGAATCGTGTTTTTAACTTTTTTGACTGATTTCAGTTAAATTTTTCCGTTTAAGATGTTTCGAGTTCGATGCATTTGCCGATCATTGAGTTTAAAAAGTTAAAGCACATTTGGAGAGCAAAAAGTTGTGATTTGATATGAAAAAAAAATAGGGGGATACTAGGAGGGGGACAAAAAGGGAACACTCGAAATGTATACTCCTTCCTCGAATTTCTCAGCATTTACATTTAATTTCCTTACAACGATTTATTTGCAACAAAAGTTAATGCAAATTTTGCACAAAAAAACTAAAAGTGGCAACATGGATTAAACATACTTATAAACATTGTTCATGGCGGTAAATTGTTTTGTTGCCGATGATGTTGACAATCGTAGGCGGGCAGAAGTTTTTCATTACTTTCCTAAAAAGAGCGTTGAAGACTACTACTGAAGACTAAGAATACTAGAAGAATTATTAAATCATTCATGCTAATCATTATGATTTTAACGATTATAAAACCTGATCTTGTTTTGAATTTTAAATCTAATGTATACAACAATAAAACTCACTGGCAACCAGTGCACGTATTGTAAAAAACGTCCCCAAACTTTGCTAATGTATAGTTCATCTTAGCCATGTCGTTTGGATTCGTCGAGAAGGATGAATCGGACTAAAAAGTGATTTGATTAGAGTTTACTTCTTTGAAAAAACTCTTGCATCGATACGGCTTTTAAAATCCCAATCCGATAATAGTAGCTATATTCTATTTGCAATTGCAGTAGGATAAAATTTTTGAATCAAAAAGCTTGACCTTTTTCACTCATAAGTAGACATGTGATAATGTTTTTTGTAAAAGCCAAATGTTTAAGTAGCAGATAACTTTAAAAACTAACCAATTTGTTAAGCAGCTCATTTGCACGAATCGTAAGTGATTTGTAGACGTGGTAGCGACTCTCATAAGTGATATTTAACTTAATGAAGATCAGATTCAAATTACGACGTAACAAGTACCCTGTTTCCCCAGCAGTCGTCATCGATTGGCCAATTCTCGTGTCCGCCAATAAAATTTACGTAGTGAAGCTCTCCATCAATCACTAGCATCAAAATGCGCAGTCGAGGGATGAACGATCCACGAAAGAAAGTGCCACATCGCAACTAAACAATATAATGTCTGAGTGAAGCATTAGTTCATAATAGTTTGGATGTACCATTAAAACGCACTTCTGCAACAGATGTTGATGGTTGAAAATTTTTCGCCAAATAGCTTATCTGCAAATGGCGCCTCGCTTCAAAAAATTCGATTGAACCTGAAAATTTAAAAGATTGAACAATATGTAAAGCTTCAATATAATCCTGTATTGTAGAAAGTAGAGCTTTAACATATTAATCTGAATACAGTTTTGGGCTATTCATTGTTACTACTTAAAAGATTAAAACATTAATGTCTAAAGGCTTAAAGGTTCTGTATATCTGATAAAAACTTTAGCAACATCCTTATTCTTATACCTATTGCTTTACTGAAGTTTGTCATCTAGACGTTTAGTTGTAGCTATTATAAATAGCTTTCCACCAAATTATAAATACTCACAAGTTGAAAAATCTTCTGGAATCGCTCATGTGCTGCCGATATCACCACTTTTGGCCTCAATGGTTGCTTGATGCTTATCGGAGCCTTCTTTTCTGTGACTATTCCCGCTTCGTGCATCTCATTCAACGAAAAGGCGTAAAACATCTAAAATATCTCGTTAAAAGCCATAGCATAACAAAAACCAACCAGATTTCTATCATGCCACATTAGTTGCTCAAAGAATTGATTGATTTGCGACTTGTACTCAGGCTCCTAAAGATAAAATTGAATACATGGATGATGAATTTCTTTTCCTCATGCACAAAAGAATTAATTCGCTTAAGACATGTTGCAAAAAGAAGATACCTTTGCTGTTATCTTTAGAAGACACCTTGTCAATTCGAGATTACTTCTTCGATCTTGATTTAAAAGATCGATCTAGCAATTTTCAATTAAAAAAGTCAAACTACCTAGGTACTTGTGCATCTTACGCTACTACTTTCATATTTAAAATAGCCAACAAGACTTGTGGGATAGTGCCAAAGATTTTTCAACATAATCAATAACAAATTCCCCAAACTTACATTCTCCGCAAGTTGCACATTGGTAAAGAAGCTGTTGACGATATCCGTTGGGAAGATGTTCGGCAAATCACTCAATGTCGCTTGCAATTGGTCGAATTCTTTCGTCAACTTCTTGATGAGTCCTTTTCGATCAACCGTCGCATTTAGTGTCTTCAGGTATCCTGCAGTTTCCATCATTTTCGCTCGAAACTTTTGCACATGTCGAGCGACTAAAAACAATAATAGATAAACAAAACAATCTTGTTTTAAACTCAATCTCTAGCATAAATTTTATGCTACCTAAATGTTTGTTAAGCTCTACATGAATTTTTACGTGTAATTAGCAAATTGCAACTCCATTCAGCATAGGTTTACTTCCCGGACTGACGCTTTATCATTCAAATCAATTCCAAAGCAAATCAATTATTTGCTACGAAAAAGCAAAGCAAAAAACCTTACCGCTCCTCGAAGACACAATCTGCTTTTTGCACTCGTCGGCGGTTTGCGACATCACACAACTAAAACACAAAATTTGTCCAAGATCACCAGAAAGCTAGAAGGTAAAACGAAAATGGAAAGAAAAAAAATAAGATTATTGTTGCCTGTTCAATATCCGACGGGTAAATGTTAATTGCACAAAATATTCAGCTGAGCAACTAAAGATCTTCAAAAACACGGCACTTAGCGGTGTATTAGGTTACTAATAATTACTAATAGGTTCACTTAGGTTACTTACCTTGGGATTACTTTGGGCGGACTTTTGTGGCCAAGGGGGGCACCGGGGTGGGGTCGCTTCAAATGTATAGTCCGACTCCTTTAAACGCTTTAAAAAAAAAGATTTTCAGTCATTGCATCAAATTGTATTTAAGTAGAGTTCATTAAGTCATTTTACACCAGCACCTCTACTCCAACCGCTCCACCAACAGTGCCACTAAGTTCGAAGTTTCAAAGTTTCGAAGAAAACAAAAGTTTTGCCCGTAGTGGATCCGAACTCGCGGCCAAAAAGCAAAAAGAAGAATGGGTAAGTGTGCACTTACCACTGCACTTACCACTGCACTATTTGGGCACATTTCGAGACATCGGAGACGTTAGAACTCAACTTTTCGATCGATAAAGTCACCTGCCATTAGACGCACGTGTGTCACGATTGTGCGGTGAAATGTGTGTGCTGTGAAATGAGTGGCCGCGAAATGAGTATTATCTTTATAAATTATATTACAGAAGCAAATGCAATGATTCTCAAGCAAATTCCGTACATCCACCATTTTAGAATTGGAATCTACCGCATTTTTGCGGTAGATTGAAGAGCCCCTTTTCGAAGAGCCCTTTTCGACGAAATTTTTCAACTCTCGATTAGCGAAATGCTCAACTTTTAAAAGAGTTTTTAAAAGACTTTGAAAAGCTTTAAATAATAGTTATAGTCTTTAAAAAAGTCTAAACAAGCTTAATGACGTCGAAAAGCGGATGAGAATCCAAAAAAAAAACATCGATTTTTGAGCTCTTGAAAATTTGGGTATCTGTAGCTAGAGAAATAAAAAGAATTTTAGAGACACATTGAAAAATCGAAGAGTCAGCCGGCTCTTCTATTCGAATGTTTACGGGATTTGGGTAAATTCGATTGAAACGATCAATCGATCAATCTGCTTTGTTAAAAGCAGCAAAATCTTTTTGTTTTCATTGTGTTTTCGTCTTTTTTGTTGTTATCAATTTATTTATTCCAAATACTTCCAAATATTTATTCCAATTTTGTTAATGAGAATTAAATGAGATCATAAAGTTTGAAAATAATCAAAAATAACCCGTAAAATTATGAAAGCACCAATTGCTCACTTACAAGTCTCATGCGCGAAATCGAATTGCGTCTGCTTTGCAGCAAGGACGACGTAGGGAGGCATGAAATCTTTCATGTGCTTTCTGAAAATGAGAATTTTAGATGGTTTTTTGTTGTTCTTTGTTGTTTTCTTGTTTTTTGTTGTTTTCTTGTTTTCTTGTTGTTTCTTTCTTGTTTTGCATGTATCCAAGGAAATAAAAACGCCTAAAACAGCGCCAGGCAAAAAAAAAAAAAACAAAATTATTTTCTAGACATTTTTGCTTTTGCTTTTTCTTTTTCTTTTGCTTTTTCTTTTGCTTTTTCTTTTTCTTAGCTTAGCTTAGCTTGGCTTGGCTTGGCTTGGCTTGGCTTAGCTTAGCTTAACTTGGCTTGACTTAGCTTAGCTTAACTTGGCTTAGGCTTAGCTTAGCTTAACTTGGCTTGACTTAGCTTAACTGTTTGTGATAACTTAAAGCAAGAGAGCTAATGGAAATCGTTGATTGGCGTTGGTGAATGCTCTGCTCTGAATTTAAAACCGGTGTTCAAAGGCAAGCTGCTATAAAAAGTTCTTTATTCTAAAAATTCAAAAGTTCTTTATTCTTTGCTGTTTTTCACTTTTTCTGTCGAATCTTTGTGTTTTTAGGGTAAAAAGAGGCGGAGAATTCGATTTTTTAAAAAGTTTTACCCATAGAAACTCACGGTAACGATTTATTAAAAGTGATTTTAAACCAAAAAAAAAAATCCCAAACCTAATTTCACTTTAAGGTGTACTTTGTTTTCTTTTTGTACTTTGAAATTTTCCACAAACACCCCTTCCTGGCGCACTGGACTGGACTCAATACTGAGCTACGAATTGAGTGTGTGCATCAGAAAGAGGGGTTTCGGGATTTTTTTTCCGTATAAAGTACATTTCGAACTTGTCCCCGTACTCACCTGCAATATTTGCATTGTGCCCGAAAAACTTCTTGATATTTGCCCAATTGCATGAAGAGGTTCTTCATCGCATTTGACGTCAAATATGGATGAATTGTCTGGAAAATGTTGATAGATTTCGATTTTTTTTTTCATGACTTACATGAGTGAGCTGAACGTTTCCCTGAATCGTGAGCTTTCGGAAAATTAAATATTGGCTTTCCTTGGTTAGATCGACCTGAAAAACGGTTTAAATTGAAGAAAACGGGTTTCATTTAATTGATTGTGCTTAAATCTTGTAAAAAACCTGGTTTCTAGTGCACACAACTCGTGCACCAGGAAATGTGCGTTTAAAAAATTTTAGCCCAAAGTACACAGAGAGTCAAAAAGAGTTTCTTTTGCCAGCTTACCCTTTTTTCTCCCATTTCCTCGTTGTACGCCCATTCCTCGTGTGGAGCGATGAATTGAAGGCTCTCGAAATACCCGAATTCCTCCACCAATAACATCTTTTGTGAGCAGATGAACGTGTTCTTCTGTGTCGGGCAAAAGAAGCCAAATTTGAGCTGAAAAAAAGTTCGAATTTGATTCAAGCATTAATTTTAGTGAAAACATTGAAAATTTGGGTATAAAAGTTTTTTCGAAAAGTTCAAGATCACCAATTTTCGTGCTATCATCTCCCCAACTTTTCAAAATGCAAATTGAGCTTTATGAAACAATTTGCATTTATCTTTTTAAGTTATCCAATCACATTCACAGCTGTTACCTCAATAATCGATGACATACTGTTTTGTTCCAAATATGTGGGCACGATTCCCGATCGAGGCTTCATGTTTTTCAAATCGAGTTGAAGCTGAAATTCAGGAGTTAGTTTTGCTCAACCACACTACTTTACTTAAAGGGGAGGGGGGTATTAATCGCGGCCGGCTGACAATAAAATTTTTTTTACGGCAACCACCTGTTTTTTATTTTAATATCGCTGATTTTATTATAAAAAGAATAAAAATCACCCGGCTAGAGTGATTTGATGGGTTTACAAATTTTTGGAGACACTGCAAGGCTTGGAGAAAAACAAGATCGTCACTCATTGATATAAAAAGCATCAAATAAAACAAAATGATAGCTATCGGCGAAAAAATTTTTCACTTGGAATCGGCCTCGATTCTTACGCTTCCTTTAATGAAAAACAAAAACAGGGAAAAGGCAAGAAATTCAAAAGATCTCAAAACTGACTTTTTTGGCTAAAAGACCACGAAACTTTCAAGAAACCAAGTTTCAGAGAAAGAGCCTGTTTCTTACAGAATACACTCACATTCTTATTGTAATTTTTACAATAATCATAAAGTAATGAAGAGCTACTTTTGCACAAATCGTCTTTTTGCTTACAGCTTGCAACTTTCCCAAATCCATAAACAAACACAATCAAACCTGTGCAAAAGCTGCCTCGAAAAGCTTATGCGGATGTTTGTTCGCATCCTCGGCTCCCCAATTCGAATACGGCAAATGTTTCGGGATCATCGCCGTCGTTTTTCGACTGTACGGTCGATAGCGGTGAAACTCGGTGAGATACACGTAACGAGTCTGAAAAAATGTTGTTGATAAATAATTGAAATTGAATTTAGATTTAATATCGTCGAGCATCGAACTTACAAATATGCATTCGGTCCAATTGGTTGTGTCGATGAAACTCTCGACAAGCTCGTGGGTGTTCAGATCGTTTTGCTCTTCCTGAAATGGAGTTCGAAAACAAAGGTTCTTGCAATTCTTCTCCATATGAATTTGCATTTTTAAATTACAAACTCTGAACTTTTTCCACTTCAGTTTCAATTAGAACCCAAGCAGCTTCAACCTTATTTTTTGGGAGTTATCTTCTCCCCTCCACAAACCTGATAAATGCTCTTCAGCAGATCCATCTTCTCCATCGCTCCCGCGACATTCGGTGGCAATTGTTTAGCATAATTTTCGATTTGCTCGTAGAAGCGAGTGACTTCTTGCATTCTCTCGAGAGCGCTCGGATCGGGTTGACCGGATTCGGTCTCGAAGATCGCCTCATCCGCCCGTAAAGCATAGTGACGAAGTTTTCGAATGAAATAGATGCCTGTAAAATGGGGATTCATGAAATTTTCCTTAAGTTGCGCATAAACTAGGAAAAACTTATTTTAAATTTGACGCAAAAAATTCAACGTACAATCGCCTACGTTCGGCTTCTTCACCGTACCATCTTTGTAGTTTTGCTGGGACATGTTTGGATGAAGTGAAAGGTGAAAAATTGATCAGAATTAGTTGCGCTAAATATATAAATTCATGAATTCGTCAGAGAATAAGCGGTAAGGACACTTTGTTTCATTGAATAAACGTCAATGAGAGTATCGCTGCGTTCATTTCTGCCATGGTTGACCAAGAAACATTTTTTACAGCGCCGTCAGCAGCCGAAAAATACAAAGCACTGCTTTTTCTTAAAAACGCTCAAAATAGCGCTTAAGTCCGGAGTCCCTGCTGACGGAATTCAACCAAATTGCACGATTTTCTCCAAGTATGAATCCGAATTACGCTTGAACAAAAAATTGTATTTTTCCATCACAACGTAATCTAATATTTATTTACACAATGCTATTAACATTACCAAACTTTACTAAAAGAAACCGTACATAATAATCAACTAGAAATTAGACAAAAATTAACTTTAATAATTCTTCTGAATCGTTTTCTCGTCAGGCAGTTTCGTTTGAATCGATGAGATTTGCTCATCCCAGTCCTAAAAGAAACGAATTGAGAAGATATCGATAAAGATGTCTAAAGTTCTTTTAATAAAATTATGATTTTCATCTCGGTTGCTTAAGCTAAAATATGGTTGGAGAACACGACGCGTCAGAATGCATAAAATTGTCTAATTAATCTGACACACCCTTTCATAAATTTTACGTTCTGTCAGACCGTACTTACAGATTAATTACGATCGTGTAATTTTTAGCACACTTAGCCTAACTACTAATTAAGATAAGGTTAACTACTAGCCTTTCTAAAGTAATTTTAAACGCTGAGCAATAAAAATCTTTCAAACCTTCTCAATCTTGGACCAATGCTGAAGCAATTCTTTCTTGCGTTGCTCACGGCGATTGAAGTAGTACGGGAATTGTTCTTTCTCTGGTAGTGTCCATTGCGTACTGTCCAAGATGTCGTCCCTCGACTCCCGTTCACGATCGTAGGAAGAACCTAAAGCAAAGAAATATTCAAGGCAATTTAAATCACATGTTTTTCTAGCTTAACCAACATTACTTTACGATTTTTAACATTAAATCAACAAAACTGGTACTACGAGCACCATTGGCACTCCTATTCGTGCACTTTCACGTCCAAAGCAATACAGGTATTTTATCTCTCAGGTTGTTGACAAAAAAGGTAATCTTTCAAATTAAAAAACCTCCGGGATCCATTGCAAATCGGAAGGGCTTAAAGTGGCGCTTTTCCCAAAGTTGTCGACATCCATCAGCCAATAGCAGTTGAGACTTCCTCGTATCCTAAATGAAAAAATTAATTAAACAACGGTAGGTTCTTTAGCAAAATTTCTGTTTTCAATCAAATTGATTTATAAACGTTCATTATGCTCTTTAAATTCGAAAGATATTGCAAGAATTTTAGGATTAACTTTCTTCAACAAACAAGTTCTTCCATCAAATATTTAAGTAGAAGGATATCGTGTGCTTTAACTTCAAAATCAAAAATGGGAACTTTTAAGTTTCTAATTAAGGTATGTTTCAGTCAACGCGCAACTTGAGAATTCTAAAGTGCATTTGCGATTGTTCTGCAACAATAACATGAGGCTTGTGATACTAAAAATATTTTTTCCATCATAATTTGAATAAACGATGATATTTGAATGAACTTCAAATTGCCTAAAGGACTAATTTTGCTATATTTCCTTTAATACAGTGGGATGTTTATTTTATTTGCTGCTCGCAAATATTCTACTCAAATAAAAATGCCATTCAATTAGAGGAAATGCAATATTTTCACCCAAACGCACTTGTTCTTCCTTGTTTGCGTCGAATCGAGCCCTCATGATGACCTTCTGAAAGCGCACCTCCAGCAAGCTGCCTCCGTACCAGTTGTCGATCTCACGAAGCGAGCGCTTGTAGAGCCGGCACACCTAAAGTTGAAAAATTAGTACACAACTAATTAATAAATTAATCTCGACCCTTTTATTCTACGAAATAAACTATTTAAATCGTCGGCTCCGAGTAATGCATTGTCCAAAAACAGTATCTTGCTTCTGTATAGCTTCCGTGTCTTTTTAAAAACCTCATGTCCGTCATCATTGCTTGCCAAGCTAAATATTTCTTACCTTCTGTCGATGTGAAAGCGCCTTTGTAAACATCCATGCCGGCGATTCAGCCATCTTGGCGGACTACCCGTCAAGCGCAAATGCACCTAAATTTATGTAATAAAAATTGAAAGACCCGGGGCAAATTAATGGAAAAAACACATAAATCAACAAGAGAAACAAAGTCTAAAAATTTCTACAAAAACAAACTTTTCAACATCAACGAACAACTATAATTCTATGCCCTATACGACCAAAACAATCAATAAATCATAACATTGAAGTGAACCTCAATACAAACTTAATAAATTAAAGTTGAACATTAAGATTTTTAAAAAAATCTAATTAAACAACTTTAGATGTTGAATGAAAAATTTACTAACATCGTCCAACAAAGAAAGCATTATCCTATCAAGGTTCACTTCTCTCAAAATGTAAAAGCTTCTAGTATCTTGGCGGTGCAATCGGGTAACTCTTTGGAATCGATCTCCACTCCTTTTCTGTTCGCTTAAAGACGATTTGTCGTGTGAAATGTCCCATCTTTTGCTTTTCCCTCAATTCTTTCACTGCTTGTCGTTCTGCGGGCGGTTTCAGAAGTTCCTCAAGATTACATTCGATCGGTTCTTTTTCCTCATTCGTCACAATTCCGACGTGCACTGTGTCCAAGTCTTGCCTCAAAATGCTGTCCACCGATTCGCGCATTTCTCGTGACATGTGTGTCCAGAAAAGGAACATGTTTGATGTGTAGACTTTCTCATTCGTTTGTTTGGCTATCCGGCGGTAGGCGAGATCACGATGTCCAAGTGATTCGACCTTTTCAATGACAGCTCCTTGATTGAGTAGAGTATTGCCAGCCCGTACGAGTGCCTTCACGAGATCGGCCTTTGATAACGAGCGAGTGATGAGCGTCAACTCGTAGAAGGGCATCGTTTCGATACCTAAAAAGGAAAGATTAATCACGGTTTGAAAAATAGAACAGAGATAAAAAGGGCAAAAAATAAGCTATCGCTCGACTTTAAAGGATTCAATGCGTTAGATACATTTGTTTAAAGATGGATTTGTTACTGCTATACAATAAAACGTTTGTTAAATCATCATGAAAGGATTCGATTCATAAAAAACATTTTTTCAAATGTTCTGCTGAAAAATCGTTTTTAATCGTCGACAAAATCATCATACTAGGTTCGATTACCGGTGCAAAGCATTAGAACAAAAGAAATTTTATCTGGGACAAGGCTTTCAACAAAATAAACAGTATAATTCCAAAGGTACATCGCTTTTCCAACGTAAAGAACAAGGATTTTTGTTTGTGCTATACAGGAAAATGCGATCAGCCTTCGCTATTCGAGCGTTCTTTGATAAACCTCGTACGGGAGCTTAGAACTTATATGAAAGCAGACACTTAACCAACTCAATCTCGTGAGAAAAATGACAAAATGGCAAGAAAATTTGGGATTATGACAATACCGCACCGCCATTTGCGCGCATGTGAAAAAACGTCTTTTGCGCACCACAGGCCCCGCTCACTAACTTCAAGTACTAAAAGTTGCACCAAATGACCCACATCGCTCCGATTGGGCCCAAATTTTTACAGCACCTTGCGATCGCCTATGTCCATCTACTGTAAAAATTTCAGCTTCATAGCTTCATTATAAAAAAAAAAAATAGGAAGCCATTGTTCGCTTTGTGCGCAAAAGACGTCTTTTTTGTATCTTTTGCGCACAAAAAATTCAAGGCACTCCTTAATTTTTTTTTTATAATGAAGCTATGAAGCTGAAATTTTTTACAGTAGATGGACATAGGCGATCGCAAGGTGCTGTAAAAATTTGGGCCCAATCGGAGCGATGTGGGTCATTTGGTGCAACTTTTAGTACTTGAAGTTAGTGAGCGGGGCCTGTGGTGCGCAAAAGACGTTTTTTCACATGCGCGCAAATGGCGGTGCGGTATTGTGCTAGTCCCGAAAATCTTCTTTTATAGCCAATTTACAAAATTTACATTGGATGCAACTTTTTCAACAGTTATGATAATTTTTGCCAGGAAAATCGATGTTTTTGTCTCGAGTTCTTACTTTTCAAGTTCAGGGAATACTTTTATTTCGATAAGTTACGCAGAAAAAAAAATTTCTACATCAGGTTTCTTGTTGTTTTTCTCAGCAAACGGTGTGCTCTCGATTGTGAATGTGCTCGCGAATTCCCGGCAAATTGTGTACTCGAGTGATCATCGCCTGGAAATGGGTTTAAAAAAAAAATGATGGAAAATTGCCATTTTGACTTAGTTTATGGTCAAAACGATTTAATTTCAAAAGTTATCAATTCAGAAAACTCCTTTTGCTTTTGCAGAGAATGCAATTCCTTTTGCTAGATCCAGTTTTTGATTCACTTTTTTTTGCGAAAAGCAAAAGCTTTTAAAAACGAACATATTACTGATCGAAACATAGATCAGTGATATGTCAGCTTTGATATGTCAGCTGATATGTCAGGTTTGATCAAATTTCAAGTTTTCAGTTCTAAATTTGTCACCTTAATGTGTGGATAAGCGTCCAGCGAGCTTTCCTCTCCGTAATCGAGAAGACGACCGAAAGATTCGGCGGCGAACACATCGACCCAGGTTTCCTGAAAAGTGAAAGTACCGTATTTTTGAAAAATTTCTTATCCTTATCTTTTCATCTAACTTTTCGTTAACTATAATATCCTATAGAGTGTACTTTGAGCTATCCAAAAAGCCAGACACATCCCTTCTGGCGCACCCGACGCGTCACTTTCCTCACCACTCCCACTTGCTGCGATGAATCGAGTACGTCAGAAAGGGTGGATTACATTTACATTTACAATTCAGAGCACAAAGTTCACGTAATTATCAATATCCAACCTTATCCCCTAAAAATAGTCCATTGTTCCCATTCTCCATCAACATTTTCTCGATCAATGGCGCGTACTTTCCGATTCCTGGACGCACTTTTAGACGGAAATAGTCCTCCTGAAATGAGCTTGAGTGTTGATCTTGTGATTTGAGGAAGAGCGTCTCTCCCCTGAAGGGGCACAGGACTGTGGATTAGACATGGGCGCTAGAAACTACAAGACCGAACTATAAACGCTTGTAGAAACGAGTAGAATAGCTATTTTTACAAACTGTTTCTACCAAATTGAGCCAACTTTGGGCTTTTGAATGACACCAAGATCAGACCAATTCACCATCCAATTCACGATTCACGATCTTCGAGAACGTGCTATTTATAGCAGTTTGTCGTCCATTGGATAGGAAAAAACGAAAAGAAAACGTTATTTTTCAGCGCAGTGATGGCGAATTGGTCTGATCTTGATGCCAGTCGAAAGCCCAAAGTTGACTTTTGATTTTTTGGTGAAAACAGTTTTTAAAAATAGCCATTCTACGCGTTTCTACAAGTGTTTGTAGTCTGATCTTGTAGTTTGTAGTGCTCATGTCTACTGTGGACTGAATCCTAGCTACACACATTATATATGTTACGGCAGAATTCGACCACACGACAGAATCGGATTTTGCCGTCAGAATCCGATCACAAATTGTCTTGTGATCGAATTCTGATGACAGAATTCGATCGCATTCATGATAAATACTAATTAGCTAGATCTTAGCCAAGTTAAATGCTAATTAAGTAAATTTTAGTTTTTACTTTAAGTTGCAAATTAAAAAAGGAAATGTACAATTGCAAAACAAAGCTGAAAAACAAAGAATTTTGTGTCAAATCTGCTTTCTGGTTACTATTTACTTTACTTTCCTTTACTTTACTTTACTTTACTATATTTACTATTTACTATTTACTATTTACTTATTACTATTACTATTATTATTATTATTTCTTATTACTAAATATTGTTTACTTTCTATTTGGAATATGAAAAAAGCATGTTCAAGGTAAAATGCATCAAAAAAGCAGTAATTAGTGCTATTTTAATCAAAAAGAGAAGACTAAGCACTCAAAAATCACCCAACAGATCTTTAATTTGTCTATTGAATAACTATTATTTTATAAAAACATCAAAATTCAGTCGAATGAATGAATTTCTCTTGAATGTGATCGGATTTTGTTGTCGGGATCGGATCCTGACGACAGATTCTGATTCTGACGACACACACATCAACGTTTGAGGCTTATTCTCTCCATTGAACCAAGCAATGATCGTCTAATTTTGTCTACTAGTTAACTTATACTTATGAATTCAGAAATTTCAGATAAAAGAGCAAAATGAAAAGGAGATCCTTGAACTTTTGTCCTTGGAGGATAGGTGAGTTGCTAGCCTTGCTGGCCTTGCTGGGAAATCGATTCGATTCACTTGATCGATTCGATTCAATTTTGTGTGATTCAATGAAAACAAAAAGAAATGACCGACTTTGATCATTTAAAAGGGATCAGATCAGAATCAGAATCAGAAAATGCTCACTTTTTGTAGTCAAAAATCGATCGGTCTTTTAGTTTTTAAGAAATCACAAATTTAAGTACCGCAAGAACTTGGGGAAAACCCGAATACAAAACAGTATTACTGCGAGAATTCTGTAGAATAAGCTTGTAGAAGTACAAGCAATTGTTTCAATATCAAATGAAGAGATTTGTGTAGATTGTACCTTATCCTGATGATCAACTCCCATCAACACATAGGCCCAATGCCCAACTCCTGGATCGTTGTTGAACTCTTGAATCACTTCGGCGATCATGTCAAGTCTCCCGTTCTCAAGGTGATTCTTTCCGTTCAACCCTGGAACCACGGTTTTGAGCAGCTGCATTGCACAGGTCGCTTGTGTACTTTGTGGAAACACACACTCTCTGGCACACTTATAGTCAGAGCGCTCACTCAGAGCTCACTCAGAGCTCATTCAGAGCTCACTCAGAGCTCATTCAGAGCGTCAGAGGTGTTTCATGGAAAGTTCGAAAGTTATTTTATAAGTTTAGCGCCAGAAAGAGTTAGTTTATAATTAAAGCCCAAAATACGTCAAAATTCCTATTTTCTCACCAAGCTCATTCCCAAGGTAGCGCAAAATGGCGACAGATTGCCCGATTTTATGGTGTCCATCCACTTCCAGAACTGGTACTTGATAGAGGGGCATTTCTAAAAGAATAATGAATGATATTTGACTATGAATATAAATATTATAACTGGATAAGAGATTTGACACTGGTTTTGAATCAGATTGAAAAGAGATTTCGATTTTGAACCGAAACAAATCAAACAAACACTTTGATTCTTACGAATACTGACGGTTTTGATTTGATTCGAAGTCTGTCTACTCTAGCCAGTAGTTATAGTTTTTGAAAATTCTATAAACTTTTCACAAACCATCTTTCAATGGTGGCCAAGTTTCGGCTGTTAGAATCTCGTTGGTGAACGGAGTGCCACTCAAATGGAAAACCTGTCGAATTGCCTCGGCGCGTCCGCGATTCACAAAATAGTACAGCTTGTAAGTGTGCATTCTGAAAAAGAATTGATATTTGAAAGAATTGATAATGAAATGCAAACACACTCTTTCTAAAGCACTCAATCGTTAACAACTCAATTTTGAACAGAAATTTAAGTGTACTTAAGATAAGAGCTTAAGAGAGTGCTGTAGATTATAAAAATAAACTAAAAGATTTCTTTGAAAACAAGAATCAAAACAATCAGAAAGAAAAATCAGAAAAAGAACAACAAAACAAGAAAAAGATATCAGCCATTAAACATTAAACTTTGAACAGCCATTCGACTGTTCAAAGTGTCAACTTACATCTCAAGAAAAGCAAGAGTAAGCTATGCTACGGTTTTCGAATTAAATTTACGATATCTGTATAGCTATAAGCAAAAAAAAAACAAGTAAAGGCTACGTTCAAGTGAGCAAAAATATGGCAACAACATCGAGCAAGCAGCTGATTTCCCATTTCCAGGTTTCCATTGTAACACAATTCTTTACCGAATCGAAGTCATCCATCATATCCGGTTCACCTGAATACGTAAGAGTGCTTAAGAGAGTGCTCTTAAGCTCTTATATATTGCTCTTAAGCTCTTATATAGTGCTCTTAATCTCTTATATAGTGCTCTTATGCTCTTAGCTAGTGCTCTTAAGCTCTTATACTTTTTGTAAACGAATAGTTTGACTCGAAAAACAAACTATTTTTGAAAAACTAACATCGGATTATGAAAATTCAGATATTTTAACCTATAATCTAGTTTTTTTGAATAAAAGTTCCAACTCTAAACAAATTTTTGATGAGAATGTTTAAAGGTGACTTTTTTTTCTTTTGAGATTTGAGTGCTCTTCGTAGAATTGCTTGAAAATCTTTCGTTTTTCAGATATAATGTTCGTTTTTGGGCTTGTTTTCAAGAAAAAACTTAGCTCTATCAAATAGTAACAAAAGTTTTTAGAAAAACCCATCTGCAAGAAAAATCTGCAAAGTTTAAGTTAACTTTTGGAAAAATCTTCAGCGGCCAGATCGGGATGTACAAAATCTTAGTCAAAAAGTTGTTGAAAGCGAAGTTTTTTTTTTATGAAAATCGGCATATTTGGGTAAAAATAGCTGAATTTTTCGAATCTGGTGTTAGTTTTTCGAAATTCATGTCTTTCAAGTTAAAACAATTGAAACAAAAACAACAATTTTACAGAAAAAGTATGAAATTTTTGGGAAAACCTTTATTTCAGCTCTATTAAGTAGTACAGGGTGGGCCAAAATTACCGTTACAATGCTCACTCACGCGCAAATGCGAAAGCGGAATGGAAGAAAGCGGAATGGAAGAAAGCGAAATGGAAGAAAGCGAAATGGAAGAAAGAGAAATAGAAGAAAGCGGAATGGAAGAAAGAGAAATGGAAGAAAGCGGAATGGAAGAAAGCGGAATGGAAGAAAGAGAAATAGAAGAAAGCGGAATGGAAGAAAGAGAAATGGAAGAAAGCGGAATGGAAGAAAGCGAAATGGAAGAAAGCGAACGGTAACAACTTCAGCAAATGTCAAAAGAAAAGTGAGGAATCGCCTGTTGAAAACGCCAAACTAATCGGTGCGGAAAATGTCACAAAAAAACGGGGATTAAGCGAACATCCCTTAGAAGAATCATCAAAAACAAGCTCAAGTTAAAGGCCTACAAGAAAAATAAATCACAAATGCTATCAGTTGACGCTATCAACCACACAAAACTGTTGATAATTTGAAAAAAGCGCTCGAAAAGGCTTGAGAGCTGGGCTTGGGAGCTGGATCTCCTATACCTTCTCGTCACGATCGACCCTTTTCTACGACGTTTGGACGCCTGTGTAAAAGCTATTGGAGATCTCTTTGAAAGCGAATAGTTTCTATGAAATGTTATGAGACGATAAAAGTTATTTTTAAGAAAAATCTTTGACCTTTTGAGTTGCTTTTTATACAGGGATATTATTCTGGTTTGTTGTTCTTTGTGGGAGAGGGAAAGGTTTCTTGTTTTTCTGTAGAAAAAGAATCAGCTCGAAAAGAGAGATAAAAATTGCTGTTTAAGTATAAAATTGCAAAATTTTCATTTCAGAAGTCTGATTGTCGTGTTTACATCAAAACCACCAAATGAGGGATTCAGAGAAAAGGGAATAGAAAAGGGAAAAAGGAAAGGGGAGAAGTGATGCCCTTTCACAACAACAAACCTTTTCCCTTTCCCACAAAGAACAACAAACCAGAATAACAGAAAGGAGAGTTCAACAAGAAAAAGGAGAGTTCATCAGGTTTAATGTTGTTCTGAATATTTCGTAAATATTACCTAACTGGAGGGAGATGCTTTTGAACTTACAGTCAAACTTACAGTTTTGAGCTTTTGCCAGCTTTTGGCCCTTACCCTAACACATTTTGTGCATTTTTTTGCGATGAATCCGATCGGATGGTCGTTTGGGGATCACGGTCCTAAAGTTTCGAGATATTTTGCTTCAAAGTTTACCCTAAAATCTCAACCATGCGAATTTCGAGCGTCATATGGAGGTCATATGGACACCATATGGACGTCATATAGACGCAGCGTGATATGGACTTCACAAGGAACTTAATGGCTGAGCTCCTGGCTTAGTGGATAGTACGCTAGGTTCATGAATTCTCATGCGAGGTTCGGTCCTCCATTGCTCCAGCTTCTTCGCTTTTGTTAAAAGATGTTGAATAATTGTTGTTCTTTTATTTTTTGCGTGTTTTAACTTTAACTTTTAACAGAATCTGTGCGTCTTTGGTATCAAAAAATAGAGCAGAATTTCAGCTATTTTTTGATACCGATATGCGCATTGTAGCATAAACCAGTGTCGAGAAAAACGCGTTCAAAGCAAGACTACGCAACACTCCGCACCGTCCGTATGGCTGTGGGGACTATTACAGTATTTACGGTGGCTACAGATCTTTCGTTAAAACATTTCTGGTAGTATAGTTGCAAAGTCTTGCCTCAAATACTAAAAATCATAAATAATAAAGATGCTTTCTGAAAAAGAGTGAGATTTAACAGAAAATGATAACAGAAACCTTGAAAACACTGAAAAACTTTGAAAGAAGAAAGTTTTGATGAAGTTTAATGGAAAAGTTTTTGTTTTTTTCATCCATTCTTTTCTCTAGTCATTCAATTTATGCAAAAACCCTCTATAAAAGAAAAAACAAAAATAAAAACCCTAAAAATGAATCGAATTTGTCTTTGGAGAAACAGAAATAGACAGACCACATTTTACAACAGAGCAAAACTTGTTTAATCAATAGATTCAATGGGTTTAAAGTTCAAGAACAAAAGCAAATCTGTCGGAAAAGCCGTGGATAGATTGAGGAGAGATTTAGTGGGAAGATATCGGGGGAATGGAATGAGTTATCCCCCCTAAAAACCCTAAAAATGAATCGAATGAATCGAATTTGTCTTTGGAGAAAAATTGCCACATTTTACAACCACCAATTCGGGAATTGATAAGGCAAAAACGCTTCTAGAATTGATCGAAATTGAATTAGCATTGAAAACATGATCACTGTACAGGGTGCGGCAAAAGTTCTGACACTTTTTCTGTAAGCAGTTATTTTTTTGGCTTCAAAAACCCGTGAATTTCAAAAAACTAACGCCGGATTCTAAAAATTTAAGTAGTTTCACCCCAATATAGCCATTTTCATAAAAAGATTTCAACTCTCAATAACTTTTTGACGAGAATTTTTTATATCCCGGTCTGGTCGCTGAAGATTTTTGCGAAAGTTGACTTAAACTTTGCAGAATGAATTTTTTTCCAAAAACTGCTGTTACCATTTGATAGAACTGAGTTTTTTTTTCTTGAAAACAAGCCACAAAAAACTTTATATCTCAAAAACGAAAGATTTTCAAGCGATTCTACGAAGGGCACCCAAATCTCAACAGCAAAAAAAAAACTGCTGTAACGACCTTTAAACATCCTCATCAAAAGGTTGTTTAGATGGCAATTTTTGTGTAAAAAAGTATATTAGGGGGTAAAAATATCTGAATTTTTATAATCCGGTGTTAGTTTTTCAAAAATCGCGTTTTTTCCAAGTCAAACTGTCCGTTTACAAAAAGTGTCAGAATTTTTGCCGCACCCTGTATAGACAAATTGCTCGAATTTAAGCCTAAAATCCCCATTTTTTCCGGGGGGTTGCGGTGCGAAAAGCGGGTGAATTCAAGCAAGAGAAAAAAAAACTGTACACGTGGAAAACATTTTCAGATTAACTATTGCAATAAATAGTAATTGAGAATAAATAGAAAAGAGAATGAAAAATTTAGATAGAAATTTAGATAGAAAATGGGAATTTGAAAATTTATAGCTGATTTTGATGAGTCGATGAACTCTACGAGCGCACCAATTCTACTCGAAACGGTTTCTTTCTTGAGTGATTGCCGAGGAGAACATTTTGAGGTGATCATCAAACATTTGAAAGAGTCGAAGAAAGAAAATTGTTCACGCTTTAGCAATTTTGCCTATTTCTATTTCTATAACGATGACTCGAGGAAATTGAAAAGCTTCAAAATCCCAAATGAATTCTTTACCTTTGCTCTTTAATGAATTACTCTTGCTTTTGCTTTTGAATTACTTTTGCTCTTTGCGCTTTAAGGCTTGATGCTAAAATTGAAGATGAATTCAAAAGGATATCTTGCTAAATCTTAACTAAAGTGCTAAAAACACTAAACCAGTTTAATCCTATCCTACTTATTACAAGCGAGAGAGTGTCTGTCTGTCTGTCTGTCTGTCTGTCTGTCTGTCTGTCTGGCTGTCTGTCTGTCTGTCTGTCTGTCTGTCTGTCTGTCTGTCTGTCTGTCTGGCTGTCTGTCTGTCTGTCTGTCTGTCTGTCTGTCTGTCTGTCTGTCTGTCTGTCTGTCTGTCTGTCTGTCTGGCTGTCTGTCTGTCTGTCTGTCTGCCTGTCTGTCCGTCTGTCCATCTGTCTGCCTGTCTGTCTGTCTGTCTGTCCGTGTGTCCATCTGTCTGTCTGTCTGTCTGTCTCAAAGATTCTCAATCTGCATAATACTGGTCTTTTAGGGATGTCTTTTGGTCGCAACTACCTCTAGGAGAAGGGCGCGCATACAGTTCCTCAAAAAAAGTTCAAAAAAGGCGATTTTTGGCTACTTTTGATCTTTTTTTAAACTTTTTTGAAGAGCTGTGTGCGCGCGCTGAACCAAAATCTTCTCGAAAAACACTCTTTTAGGCTAAATAATACATGGAGAATCCAAATTTGAGATTTGCTCAAAAATGCCTACAGCCTGTAGCTGTAAAGCTGTAAAGTAAAGCTGTCTACAGCCTGTAGTTAAAAAGTTGAAAAATTTGAGCTTGCACCGAGCTCAGGAGAATCAAAAATTTTATGGTAAAAACTCGAACTAGATAAGAGCTTTTGGGGTCATAAGATTCGAAACTGGTCGAGGTAGAACTTTGTTTATGAGTGTAAGACGATCTCTCACAAAGAGAAAGAAAAAAAATACCATCGTCTAAATCATTTTGAGCGCATCAGTGTGATTTCCCTGAGTGGTCAACTTCGAGGCCGGATTTCTCGATGTTCTTGATAGCTAGCACCCCATCTAAATTGCACATTAACAAGTCAGAATTAGATGGAGATTCGAATGGTACCCATTGCATCACTGTGATTTCCTCGAGTGGTCAACTTCGAGGCCGGATTTCTCACAAAGAGAAAGGTAGAACTTTGTTTTTGAGTTTAAGTTAGTTAGTTTAAGTTTATCACACAAAGAGAAAGGAAAAAAAATACGATCGTCTAAATCATTTTGAGCGCTATTGTATTTAGCGTTCAGCTTTTATTGTGTAAATAACTTTTATAGAGGAAAAATACCTCAATTTGCAATGTTACTTTTGAAAAATGTTGATTGGATCACTTCTAAATTTGAATTGGATTCTGTTGATTGACTGTTAACTGTTAAATGTTAACTGTTAAATGTTAGCTGTTAGCTGTTAAATGTTAAATGTTAACTGTTAAATGTTAACTGTTAAATGTTAAATGTTAACTGTTAACTGTTAAATGTTAATTGACCACTCAAAAACTTTTGGATGGTCAATTAACAGAGCTTTTGAAGAAAAGAACTTTTGCGCCACTCTGTAGACGGGGTTACGGTAGGAGGAGTTCGGAAAAAAGTTCCTAGGCCTTTGTAGTGCTTACAATCCTGAAAATTCTGGCTCTGCTGTTGATCTTCTTGGCTAGTGTGTGCACAAATCAGTAATGATCAGCGATTCGATCTATTAGGTTGTTCGGATATAAACGAGCGTTTGCACTGCTTAACTCGTGAGGAAGCCATTTCCCGCATTTGATCGCCTTTCCAATTGCGTGGAGATGCTCATCAATAGTAGAACTTGAACATAGAAACTGTTGAGCAAGTTCACGCGTCGTTTGACATGGATCCGATTCGATTGCAGCCCTCAAAATATCGTTGTCTAGCGCTTGAGGTAGACAACGATATTCTTGACGAGAGTGTTCACCATCCTCGAGACTTTCATCACCGTTCCGAAAGCGTTGGAACCAGGCTCGGTATCGGCTTTCGAACAATACATCATTCCCAAATGCTTTGACCAAATCACGATGGGATGTTTTGCCCTGTTTAAAGTCGTAAAGTAGGCAGAACTTGATATTTGAAGTCGGTCATTTAAAGCAAGAAAAAAGATCTTAAAAATAAGAAATTATCCGTTTAAAAAGATTCCAAAAATACACAAGATAACGTACTTTTAAATATAGAAATACATTTTTTAAAAGTTTCTCTCACAACAATAAGTTTAGCAACGCTTGTTTATATCCGAACAACCTAATATTACAGAAATGGTCCTAAGAATCCGTTCTACTCTCATATTTCTGCGATTTGTAGACGAAAACGATTAATTTCTTTTATTAAATGAAAATTCACATTGTTTTCTGTGTATGCTCAAGATTTCTTGGTCATAGCATTCATAGATTATTTCTTATGAACCCTCAAAAATTGCTGGCAGTAACTGGCAAGTAACTGGCATTCTTAGTTTTGCGGTAGCCTTTAAACTAATCCGACTAAATCTTATAATCTTATCTTATAATTTAGAGAACAGTGTTTAAGAGTTTGCACGTTAGACCTCAAAGATCAGCTGGGCTCACTTCCGTCCTCCACAATAGTCCACACACTAACCCCGATCGGCTCACCAATAAACTTTTCATGCTAAACCCGTTTGAGCTCCCAATTAGCCTCGCTTAGCATGGCAGTTTGAAAAGAGACAAAGATCACCAGCACACAGCTAAAAACTCAAGCTAAAGATCGAATTTGCTAGAGGTCGAAACAGACAAGTTTCGCGATCTAAATTTTGTCAATAACTCGACATCATGGATGATCTTTTCTGTTTTCTGGTCCTTTATTTTCTTCCGCTTTTCACTATTGCCTTTTGGTGGACGAGAATCTATTGGGAGAGTCAAAAATTCATCGATCTCCACAATCGACCAGTTTTGATTACGGGATGTGATTCGGGTAGAGATTTGGCTCTGATCTAGTTGGAAAGCGATGATCAGCGATGATCAGCGCTAGAGTGAACGGTGTAAAAATTTGAATAATTGAATAATGTTTCAAGATTTGTTACCGTAAATACTGTAATAGCCCCCCACAGCTATAATGACGATGCGGAGTGTTGCGTAGTCTAGCTTTGAACGCGCTTTTCTCGACACTGGTTTATGCTACGATGTTCGTTTAGGTATCAAAAAATAGCTGAGATTCAGGGCTATTTCTTGATACCAAAGACACTTTTTTTGAAAATACGAGCGCTTTGAAAAACGCTTGCATACCGTATTTATTCTAATAAACGCCACTCCCCTCGAACAACTTTAGACGCCTCGTTCTCAGTCCCATTTTGAGATATTTTTATGTTTAATATACCAAAAGATAGCCCTTAATGTCTTCTATCATTTGGTATATTAAACATAAAAATATCATAAAATCTGGCTGAGAACGAGGCATCTAAAGTTGGTCGAGGGGGGGGGGGCGTTTATTAGGATCAATACGATAGTCTAGCTTTGAACGCGCTTTTCTCGACACTGGCTTATGCTACGATGTTCGCTTAGGTCTCAAAAAATAGCTGAGATTCAGGGCTATTTTTTGATACCAAAGACGCATTTTTTGAAAGTACGGGCGCTTTGAAAAAAATGAAATACTAAAAAAGTTTTGCGACTACGCGACTGTACGAGGGCGGTGGGGTACTATTACAGTATTTACGGTAGGTATATTGTACTTTTTTCTAGGTTTTGGTCACGATGCAGCTCTCGAGATCGCTAAGTTGCAAATGCCTGTTTTCGCCGGTTGTCTCACGCAAGAAGTTGACATTTTTGAGAAAAGATAATCCGATTTTTGCTAGGGAATGCGACAAATTCAACAGCAAGCCGCTCAAATCCCGGGCGCTAAATTAATGGCTCTTCCATTGGATGTGACAAATGATGAAAGTGTCGAGAGAATGGCTGAGATTGTCGAGAAAGAGAGTCAACGATATGGGGGTGAGTAGGGGATCGGATCTGGGATGAGTACCTTATTGTATGCGTAAGTCAAGGCAGACAAGGTGGCCTATTCTAGCCTGACCTATTCTAGTCCATAGTCTGGCACCTAGATCTTGACTAAGACTGGCCTAGCTTGGACCTAAACCTCTGTTGGTACAGCTCTACTTTTAAAGCTTTGCTGTAGACATGGAAACTAGAAACTACAAACGTAAACTTCAAACGCTTCTAACTTGGTTCAAATTTGTTGGATTTACACAAGCTATAGCTCAAAAAATAGAGAATTTCAAGGACTTTCGAATGGATTAAAGCATACTTAAAAATATCAATGCTAAAGAAAGTTGTAGCCTGACAAATCGTACTTGTAGTCAAAGGGATCGATTCAGGCTACAAACCACTGTAACTTTCTTTAGCGTTGATGTTTTTGAGTGTGCTTTAATCCAATCCAAAGCTCTTGAGAGCCCCTATTTTTTGAGCTATAGATCATCACAATCCGGCAGTTATAAAGCGACTTAGAAGCAGACTCGATGGCTTCGACTACTAGTACGATTTGTCAGGCTACAAACCACTGTAACTTTCTTTAGAATTAATACTTTTGGATGTCCTTTACTCCATTCGAAAGCTCTTGAGATCCTCTATCTTTTGAGCTATAGCTCGTGTCAATCCAACAAATCTAAACCAAGTTAGAAGCGTTTCTAGTCTAAGTTTATAGTTTTTAGTGTCCATGTCTGGAAATCTTTGAATGCCTTTCTACTATACGTTGATATTATTGTAAAGAGTTCTAGAAAGCAAATTCACTATAGGATTTTATGTACTTTTTTAAAATTGCAGAAACTCGTCCCTTCAAACGCGGTCATATGAGGCGTTCCTCTTACGAGTTATTATTATAATTAATATTTTTGGGTGTGCTTTAATCCATTCGAAAGCTCTTGAGATTCTCTATCTTTGAGCTATAGATCATGTCAATCCGTCAGTTATGAAGCAAGTTAGAAGCGTTTGTAGTGTGACAGTTTGTCATTTTTGTAGTTTATAGTGCCCATGTCTACTTTGCTGCGCTTTTTAAGCTTTGCTTTTTTTTGCAACACCTTCAAAACTCTTAACCCAAGCTCAATCCACATTGCCAGTTTACTAGACTTTATCAAAACTTATCAATATCACCTAGGCCTCTGGGCAGTGATCAACAGTGCCGGTATCTCGAATGGTTTCATTGTGGACGAATTGCTAACCTGTGACGACTATCGATACCCAATGGAGGTGAACTTCTATGGAATCAAACGAGTCGCGAATCGAATGATGAAAATGTTGAAAGCGAGGAAGTGAGAAGAAAGTGAATTTTTGAAATTTCAAATTCTTCTAGAGGACGTTTGGTGAATGTGACCTCAATCTCGGGTCGGTGCCCGATCCCCGGTCTCGGTCCCTACACACTCACGAAGCATGCGGCAACTGCTTGGACTGATATTGTCAGGTAAAGTGTCAGGTGAAGTGTCAGGTAAAGTACAACTGGAAGCCTGAAAGCAGAGATTTCCCAAGTACTAGGATTTCTAAGCTAGACAAGATCAGGACCAGAGCAAGGTCCGGTTGAAAAGGTCAGATCTGTCTAAACAAAGTCAGGGCTAGGTCCAGGCTTGGTTCCAGGAATATTCGTGGGGCAGGTCTGCACCTAAGCTAGGTCATTTAGGTCATCAGCTAGGTCATTCAAGCAAGGCCAAAAGCAAGTACTCCGTCAAAATGTGCCCAATTATCGTAATCGCATCTAGCTTTACACCATAGCTTTAGTCTTTATCTCTGCGCTTTATCTTTATCTCTAATCTAATCGGGTCTCACCGGGTTTCGTAGTTGGACTGCGCACCAAAATGTGCAGTGCGTGAGAGGGTACCGATGGGGCAATGATTATTTAGATATTCATTCCGAAATATAACACAATCACTAATCTAGCGAGAAAATACAATAAAATAGAATCAATCGTTGGTTCAGTGTGTCAAAGCCAAACGAGAAAGAATCCAAAGTGGGCTCCGTCCCTTTTTATCACACAAACGATCTTTAGAGGAAGGACAAGAGCATCAGAGATATTCAAAATCAAAGCATCAAATAAGATTTCACAGAAAAGAGCTACTTTTCTGCACACTTGTCTTATAGTTAAGTTACTTGATGTTAATGCAATCCATCCGAGGTAGAAATCCTTCCTTGCAATCCTTTCTTACAATCCTTCCTTGCAATTCTAGGTTGTCAAATAGCCAAAACCAAAATACCATAAATCTGCGTAAGCTCTTCAAAAAAGTCTTCAGAAAAGAATTGTCAATGTTCGGCGTCGAGGTTTACATCATCGAGCCAGGCTTTGTGCGGACACATTTGACTGATGTGAATCGCTTGGAACGATGCAATTGGGATGTCAGAATTTATGTTTACAAAGAACTATTAGACTATTAGACTATTATACTATTATATTATATTATTAAAGCTTTCTAAACTTTTATGTTTTTGTAAAGCAAAAAAGAACTGATTTCAGCATTACAACAAAGCCCCACAAGAGATCCGAGAGGAATACGGATACGACTTCATGCATAAATGTGGGTGAAAGAGAGTTTGAATCCTTTACTGCTAAAAATCCAACTTAGATAACCTTATTTTCTAACACTTTTCACCTTTCAGTTATCGAAAATCAAAAGATGACTGTCGAGATCATGGCCTGTCCGAATACAAAAAGAGGTACGTTTTGATTCGGTTCGGTTTGGTTTGGTTTGGTTTGACTTGATTCGGTTCGGTTTGGTTCTGTTTGGTTTGGTTTGCTTTGCTTTGGTTCGGTTCGGTACGGTTTAGTTTGGTTCGGTTTGGTTCGTTTTGGTTCGGTTTGATTTGGTTTGGTTTGGTTCGGTTTGATTCGGTTCGAATCGGTTTGGTAAGGTTCGGTTTGGCTCGGTTTGGTTCGGTTTAGTTTGGTTTGATTCGGTTCGATTTGGTTCGTATCGGTTTGGTTTGGTTTGGTTTGGTTCGGTTTGGTTTGATTCGGTTTGGTTCGGTTTGATTTGGTTTGGTTTTGTTTGGTTCGGTTCTATTTGGTTCGGTTTGGTTGGGTTGGGTTCGGTTTGGCTTGGTTCGGTTCGGTTCGCTTTGATTTGGTTCGTATCGGTTCGGTTTGGTTCGCTTTGTTTCTGTTCATTTCGGTTCGATTTGACTCTTGAGAGACGCAAAGACTTTCAGCTAACTAGATCTATAGTAAATCTAGGCCCGGATTCTGATGTAACCTGGGCTTGTTTTTGGAAACTACTTTTACTTAAAATTCATCTATCGTATTGCCCAAGTTCAGTTGTTGACGACTATGTCAAAGCGGTGACCTCGGTCTACTGTAGGACGCGGATGAAAATGGGATGGGACACGTGGCTTGTGTGAGTTGAAAAAGGATATCAGATACGTAGATACCAGCTCAAAGTCTTGGGCACAGGCTCTAAGCATTTCTGAATTTCCACCGACAAATCGATCAGCAACAAATCTCAAAATACCTCCGATACATGCTAGGCGTGACGCTGGCAGCCTGCTTTTTTGCCTTCCTTGAACTTTCTTGACTTCCTTGAACTTCCTTGAACTTCCTTGACTATTCAAAAGAACTATAATAACCTTAAAAATGAATCTTTAGTTGGCATCTCTCATCATTCTTCCCAACAAATCTCCAGGATTTCTACTTGAACAATCTAGGTGTCATTTTTGGTCCGAACATCCCAGCCGCGATGCGACCCCATTGCTCTCATTGCAAGTTGTCCAAAGAGAAGCAAGAACATCAGAACGAGGCTCATTAGATTTTTGGATTAACAGATTCTGTGTGTTTTTATATATCTAGAAAATCGGATTGTTTTACTTTCCAGTAAAACTTAGTCTCAATTTTAGCCACTCTCCAGTGGCGAATCGGCTTTTTTTGATTAGTTTAAAGGTTTTCAAAGTTTGTTATAAAGTTTTTTATAATTGCATTGATGTATTGATTACGGATCCAGTTACATTGATGACAAAAAACATAAACAACTCCAGTTGGAGACAGAAAACTGATGACTCACGAGGGTTTGGAGACTAAAATTTGGAGGCTAAAATTTGGAGACTAAAATTTTAACGATAATTGATTCTTTATCTTCACTTTTAGCCAATCTATTCATTTTTTATTTTTTATTTCCTTTTTTCCTCTTAAAATCAAGCCAAAAGTATATATATTTGATCAAAATTAGAGTCAAGTTTACGGTAGTCAGTCGAGAAAGTTCACTCGTTTTAGAAAAAGTGACAGCACCAGGGCTTCTCCAGAAACTAACAATTAACTTTACACCCACAGATTGACTTTTAGATTGACTAGAAAGCTCTAAAGATTCCATCTGTCGTAGCCGAAAAGGTTTTTCAGCCAAAAGAGTTTGAAATCTTATCAGCTAGCCGAAAAGCTTTGAAATTTCTCAGCTAGTCGAAGAGATTTGAAAGCTTTTCGACTAGCTAAACAATTAGATTGACTTTTAGATTGACTTTGATTCAGAGAAAGCTTTAAAGAATCCATCTGTCGTAGCCGAAAAGGTTTTTCAGCCGAAAGAGTTTGAAATCTTATCGGCTAGCCGAAAAGCTTTGAATTTTCTCGGTTAGTCGAAGAGCTTTGAAAGCTTTTCGACTAGCTAAACTTTTAGATTAAAATTTAAAACACTTGCCATTGGAAGAGATTACCTTTTTCAGCTTTATGCTTTAATATTATGATATATAATCTCCATTAATTAAAAGATCTTCTTCAATTAAAAGCAACAAAATTTTTGCGTATCACAATCGGCTAATAAGCTTAAAATATGGTGATTTCACTTGTTGCAACTATTGCTGGCAACGACTATTGCAGATAATGTTTGATTTGAAGCAGCTGCACTTCCAAATCCCACATATTCCCACATCCAGATCTCAGTATACTCGTCGCAACATTTATTGCCAACGAGGCAACGCAGACTTAACTCTTTACTTTACTCGCATCATTATTTACTTAAAAAAAAATCAATATTTAGAAATATGATTGTGAATATTTGGAAAACTGTAACGGTGAAAGCGATAGACCAACGTGTCACCCGTAATTTGAATACCGTATTGGCTCTAATATTGGGTTGGGGAGAATGAGTCGGCGCCGAAAATGAAAAAAATGTCTAAAACTTCTATTCGACTTCGTCAAATAATATGCGTTTGATATGAGTAGAATGGTTAACTAATTCTCTACAAAATCACATTTAAAAGAAAATTCAAACAGCGCCTCCGCTCAAGAAAAAGCCATTTTTTCACAAAAACTACAAACTGTGATCTAGAAAAAACCATTGGTGGGATCTTCCTGCAAATTTGGCAACTTAAGTAATTGAATGTGCTCTATCTTTTTTATATAAACACCAAAGAAGGTTTATGTGAAAGAAACTGTTCAAATGATGAGTCGGACTCTTTGCCATTTTAACCAGCTGCGTTTGGAAGTTCATAAACTCCACGAAAGAAAAGCTTTGTGGAATCTCTCAAAAGTGATTTTGTAGAGAAATAGTGGATCCTTTTGATCAAACCAAACGTATGTTTAAAGAAGGCTTTATGTGTGCAAAAAGTCCCTTTAAAGTTTGGCGCCGACTCATTCTCCCCAACCCAATAGTAGTGCACCCCGGTGAGCCGAGTTGGTGACTATTTTACGGTTTCCAAGCTTTTGCAGAAGCTCAACACTCTAATCCCCCACTAGATCTCATCGTCAGCTACATTTTCCGACCCCACATCGATAGGTTCTGATAAGCGGTTCTCGAGATTTCGAGCAATTTAGGCGACGCTCAGGGTGCACTACTATTAGAGAAAATAGGGTAACAGAAAAGGGTTCAAAATGTTGCTACTTTCATTTACATCAGCTGTTGCAGAAGCTGAACACTCTAATCTCCTACTTTCTACTTTGCTACTTTCATTTACTTACATCATCTTCAAAAGACACGCAGAAGCTGCAGGACTCAAAGCTGAAAATCAATTGGAGTTCACTGCGACAAGAGTTTCATCGTTTAAAAGCAATCGCTTTTGTACGATGATTGGATTTGGTTGATGCATGGATAAAGTTGCTGACCTCGTTGATAATCGCTTCGAAAAAGTGGTCACCTCGTTTGAGACAAACTATATTGGAAACAAGTGACGAACCTCGCGAGATGCACCTACATTCCCTCATTCAACTTGGAATGTTTTTGAGAGAACTCGTATTGGATCTCAGCATACAAATAACTGTCTAGACGGGACACCAATCGAGCGTTGAAGGGCTATTGACAAACTCATCCAACAGCTTGGAAGGTCTTGGAAAAATTAAAACTTTATCAAATACATATTGACGGAGGAAATTCGCGAATACTTTGAACGAGGAGTCCACCCGGCAACACTAAAGCGTTCCCAGTTTGATGCTCGACAAAACCTTTGCGATATTCTCATTTTGTTGATAGGATGAATTTCTTGCATGAAATTTTAGTTTTAGTTATTTTTTTGGTTACTAAAAAACTTTTAGTTAGTTTATTTGTTAACTAGATTATGGTTTTTGTTGTGGTAGTTTGCTGATTATGTTTCTCAGTTGTTGTCTCACTTTTATGTGAGATTCATGCTTGAATTAATAAAGACGATCGAAGACGACGATCGACGACGAAGACTTCAAAACACGAGCGATAGATACGACAAGAATTTCATCGTTTAAAAGCAATCGCTTTTGTACCAGAAGTGGATTTGGTTGATGCATGGGATAAAGTTGCTGACCTCGTTGATAATCGCTTCGAAAAAGTGATCACTTGGTTTGAGACAAACTATATTGGAAACAAGCGACAAACGTCGCGAGATCCATCTACATTCCCTCATTCAACTTGGAATGTTTTTGAGAGAACTTGTATTGAATCCCAGCGTACAAATAACTGTCTAGACGGGACACCAATCGAGCGTTGAAGGGCTATTGACAAACTCATGCAATAACAGCTCTTTGACGGTAAAAATTCGCGAATATTTTGAACGAGGAGTCCACCCGGCAACACCAAAGCGTTCCCAAATAACTGTCTAGAGGGCACCAATCGAGCATTGAATGGTTCATTTGGGGAAATTGCGGAAAAGGGAAAATTGAGCTTTTTCGAAAATCCATTTGACAAGAAGATCTTGCTGTATAAGTTTCTCTAGCGTTGATATTTTTATTAAATTGTACTTTTAAAGTAAAATACCAAACGTTTGATTGAAGAAAATCCCGTTTTAGATGAAAATATTGAGTCAAAAAAGTGTCAAAAATGGCCGAGAGAAGCCTGGAGAGAAGAGATCATGCAAAAGCTTGTAAAATGAGTTGTATAAATCCAATCGGGAAACTTTTAAGAGATAAATGTAGCCAAGATTAAGGGCTTTATTTTTCTATATAACACTTGACACTTTGGTAATAAGTCAGGCATTTGTCAGCAACTTTTCCAAAAAAGATGTCACCATAATTCGCGGTCATCCTGTAAACAGTGTTAGCAGAAAAAAAAGCCAAGCAAAGCAAAAGTCAATTGCTTTCAATTAGGGCCGACCTAGAATCTTAACCCTACTGTCAGGCCTAATTTGGTCTAGAATATTGACCTTAACCTGTGATACCTGTGATCTTCCACCCATAAGACTCCCAATAGCGGTGGATAGGTTCTCCTTTTTTGTATCTCCTTTCATTTTTTTTCGTTTTCGGTCATTTTCGGGGATTGACACGAACCCCATCTCTTTTCTTTCCCTCCTCCTTCTTCCCCTCCTCCTTCTTTCCCTCCTCCTTCTTCCCCTCCTCCTTCTATCCCTCTTTCTCCTTTCCCCTCCGGGTGTCCCAAACACAAACATCAGAAGAAGACACAACATCTTTTTCTTCATCTTCTTCTCCTTTTCTTCGTCTTTTATTTCACCCGATCCATTCCATTCATCCACCATCGAATCCATTTCCCATTTCTCGTCTTCTCATTTTTCTTTGGAACTTTCCAGAACCCTCTTTTGGACTGCATTCTATGACGAGATGATTCTGCGATTATTGAGCTTGCTGAGCTTTGGTGATTTTTATAAAGCCATAGGTTTACATGGTTAGGCAACAGGGCTTAGCAGTTGAAGTTGAAAGATTTGATCATTGAAGTCAAGCCCTTGAAGTCAAGCTCATTGAAGTCAAGCTTCTTGAAGTCAAGATCATTGAAGTCAAGATCATTGAAGTCAAGCTCCTTGAAGTCAGGCTTCTTGAAGTCAAGCTCCTTGAGGTCAAGCTCCTTGAAATCAAGAGCATTGAAGTCAAGATCATTGAAGTCAAGCTCCTTGAAGTCAAGATCATTGAAGTCAAGCTCATTGATCGCTCACTTGTTTAGGACTTCTACTTACAAATGTTCTCTCACAAGCGGGATGCGCTAGACGGGTTGTGGGATATATCACGAGTTGGGGTGATGTCCCATTCACCGATCAGCAAGTAAGGAATCAAAATACTAACCACGGGCACTCAAACAGTGCCTGTTTTTTAAGGGCCGATCCTGAACGCAAAGATCGGCGAAATTGAGCTTTTTTTAACCTAATCAATATATTTTTGGCCTTTTATAACCATTCAAATGCTAGATTTTTATGATAACTAAATATTATATATTGAATCTTGTTTTCTTCTTTCCAGGCTCGTCTCCTCACCCATTTGGTGTTCGCCTTTTTTGCAATGGATGCTGACGGTGCATTGACACTCTCAAACAAGGCACAGCAACGACTAAATGGAATACTTGAGGTAAATAAAGAAACGTTGTGTTTCAAAACGAAATTCCCAAATTCTCGTTCAGGTAGCTCGTCGACACCCACACTTAAAAGTGCAATTCGCCGTGGGTGGCTGGGAGAACTCGCAATATTTCTCAAAAATCGCCTCCACTCAATCGGGAAGAGCAAATCTGAACGCGAACATACGGAAAGTGATCGAGAACTTCAAATTTGATGGAGTGGATTTGGATTGGGAATACCCGGTGACTGGCGGAGCGGTTGAAGGCGAAGAGGTCAGTTTTGAGATGTGCTTTTTTGATCGTAGACAATCCAACGAAGTGTTCAGTATTAGACTTTTTGGTAGATTAGCCCTCAAGCGCCAAGTTCAACCCTAATGTGTTAAGTGTTATTTAAAATATTGAAGCCCTTAATCTTGGCTACATTTACCTTTTAAAAGTTTCCTGATTAGAGTTATATAAATGATTTTACAAGCCTTTGAATGAGTTGATTCCTCTCCTGCACGCGTTTTTGGCGATTTTCTTCATATAAAATTCTTGAATCAGAAAGACTTGGGATTTTGGAGAAAGAATTGCACTCGGATGTTTAATGAAGTAAAGATAAGCTGGGCAATTGTCAAAGAAAAGAGAATGAGCTTTCTATTAAACTTAACTAAGTTTGCATTCAATTTCTTGAGGTAATTCTCAAGCTATTCATCGGACATTCACGATTTTCAATTCGCTTCATAAAGAACCGACAATCTTTCGCGTTCTTAAAACATTGTGATTACTTTGCTTTTCCGATAACTGGTATTTCTCACTCCCATTCATATTTGAGCCAACAAGAACTGTCAATCTTTCCTCTTTTTTTTGAATTTAGAACATTGTTTAGACAAAAAACTTGTTTATTTCAAGAAAAATCGTTGTAGAGAAATGGAAACTAGAACTATTTTCCTAAATAAGAAGCTTGTTTGTTGAAATTTCATTAAACGTTTATCGGGACTCAGAGAAGCCATCGTTATATAGAAGTTATCGTTATATAGAAGTTATCGTTATATAGAAGTTCGATTGTATAAGGAAAATCGCCAAAAATGGCAGCAGAGGAATCAACTACTGATTCAAAGGCTTGTAAAATCATTTATATAACTCTAATCAGGAAACTTTTAAAAGGTAAATGTAGCCAAGATTAAGGGCTTCAATATTTCATATAACACTTAACACATTTGGGTTAAACTTGGCGCTTGAGGGCTAATCTACCAAAAAGAGTCTACCAAAAGTCGCCGGAAATACTGAAAATCTTGTACAAGAAATCGCAGGACCTAAATGCAATCATTTCCCCATTCAGATCGATCGTCAAAACTATGTGCAATTGATGGCAGAGCTGAAGCAAGAGCTCAAAGTCCTGCAAGAGTCCCAACAACGAGCCGATTCTTATCTCATTTCGTTTGCCGGAGCTGCTGGTTATTGGGTGCTGAAACCGGGTGAGGAATCTATACTAAATATAATTCCGAAACCTGTATTTGCGGTTCCTTGTTAGTTGCACACGCTGGGCCTCTTGTGGGTTCAGGCTGGGAATACAAGTCGATCTGATAATTGGAAGTCGAGTTATAGAGTAAAATAGAAAAGTCCCAGACTAACTCCGAGACTATAGAGTAAAATAGAAAACTCCGAGACTCGCCACGGAATTTGGAAGGGTCCCCAAACTCCGAGACTCCTATTTCGAAGGTCAACGGGATTCGAACCTGCGATCTCTCGCTTACCTCTACCAATGAGCGACACCGACAAGCATCCCATTGCCGCCAGGGTAGAGCTTTATGCCTTACTGCTTATTTGTTCGATATGAATCGATAGCAGTGGTGAAAAGTTACCGGAATGAAGTGTCCGGTGGCTATTCTCTGTATGAACTTAATCTAGTTTCATCATTTGAATTGTGCCCCTTGCATAAGTGATTCAAGTGAGGATTTTCGCTTTCTGGCTTCTTAAAGCCACTTACAAACACTTACAGAACAATCCCATCATTGCTTAAACTTAAAACAAAAGTCAATTAAACGAAAAATCTTTCTAGGTTTCGATCTTCGTGGTCTCCTTGAAAATGCGGATTTCGTGAATGTGATGTCCTATGATTATTTCGGTGCATGGCAGAGTAAATGGGGTGCATTCACCGGTCCACCAGCTCCACTCCATTTCGCGATGCCAAAGAAGTGAGATAAGCTTTGTTTTTTTGTAAAATCTGAGTACAGTCCTCTAGTAAAGTCCATATTTCTTAAAAGTTTCAGGAAAAAGTGTCGAAATTTTTACGTGAAGAGGTTCAATTTTTATATTTTCCTCTTGTTTACTCGTTTTTACTCGTTTTTACTCGTTTTCCCCCTTTAAAACTGAAATTTGAGATTCTCTGGCAAGATGAATGTGCACGCGACGATCAAATACTACGCTTGTCAACTGAAAGACACTTATAAGGTGAAGATCTTTAAAAATAAGAGAATTATTTATGGACTAAATAACTTGAAAAATAAGTTAATTCGGTCCTTTTCCTTTTCCGTTATCCGTCAAAATTTGCATCCTTTTATGAAAATGAACAAGGAAAACCACAGAAAATGCATTCTTTTGCTATTTCTTGACGGTGATGTTTCGCTTATCGACTACCGAGGCTCGACAATGAGCTCAAATTTTCTAGGTGGATTTTAGAAAGTTGCAGAATGCAAAATGCAATCTCGCTCTTTCAACAACGCCCCATCTTGCTTACTACTCGCACATGCGCCAACCCTCCACGTTATGAAGCTATTGCTCCCTGATTGAGATGTGACATGTGTGACATGACAGATGAGATGTAACAAAACGTCGTGTCGACAAAACGTCGACAACAATCGGCCTGCGTGTTGGCTCATGGTTGGAGGGCACCAAAATTCCGTTTCGTTTCTCACAATTCTATGATTCATCTATGGATGGACTCAACAGTGGACCTCGATCGACTATTGTGCGAAAGAATTGGAGATAAATCACAACACCGCCACTTCAACAACTACATGAGGGATCTTTGCGTGCAATATCTGATGAAAAAGCCGAGCAGAAAAATTGAAGAAGCCAATCGAATCGTCGATGTGGACGAGTCTCTCGAAGCGAAATGCAATCTCGCTCTTTCAACAACGCCCATCTTGCTTACTTCTGACACATGCGCCAACCCTCCACGTTATGAAGCTATTGCTCAATCTAAATCCCTGATTGAGATGTGACAAAACGTCATACCGGACAGCAATCGGCCTGCGTCTTAGTTTATAGATGGAGAGCACCAAGATTCCGTTTCTCACAATACTCACATCTCTGGATGGACTGACGTCACGACACGGCACGTCATTTCCTATCGAGCTACCTCGCTGAATTCATGATCCGATAAGAAGAAAGAAAGAACGATAAGGACTAAACTCTTTGATCAAAAAAACTTTTAAAAGTCTTGAAAATTCAATACTTTTAGATTAATATGGGTGTCCCATTTTATGGTCGTTTTTGGCACAATGTTGGCGAAGCTGTTGCACCCGGTGATGACATGTGGAGAACGGCGAAACCGATTGAAGGAGATAACAAATTTGAGGTGAGCTTGCGATGGATCTGGAGCAAACAAATTTTTCAAATTGTAAAAGCAAGCACACAAGTTTAAAGACGAAAATAGTTGTAATTGTAGACGTTGAAAGCAGATAGTTCAGCTACAAAGCAGATAGTTGAGCTACAAAGCAGATAGTTCAGCTACAAAGCAGATAGTTGAGCTACAAAGCAGATAGTTGAGCTACAAAGCAGATAGTTCAGCTACAAAGCAGATAGTTGAGCTACAAAGCAGATAGTTCAGCTACAAAGCAGATAATTCAGCTACAAAGCCACAAAAATTATTTACAAATCTCAAAGATTTAGATTGCTTTATGTTTTTTTAGGGTGGTGATGTGCAATGGCGTCAAATTGGTGGCCGTTTCGAGATGTCGCGTACTCGTTTCCATGAAGGATCGAAGACACCTTTCATTTGGATGCCTGAGAATGCGACTTTTGTTGGTTACGAGGATGCGAATAGTTTATCCTATAAGGTATTCGAAGAAAGGGTTCAGTCTAAGCCAAAACTACAATTCCACCAATTCCACCAATTCCACCAATTCCAAACCTTTTGCTACCGTATTTTGGTCGACTTTGAAAGTGGCTGGTGTCTGAAGAACAAATGATATGAGTACAGTAACTGTAATATCACATACTCTATTCAAAAAATTGTAGACGCACCATGTTTTTTGCTAGTTCTGAGCGCGTCATGGCAACTATTATGTTAGAAAGTGTTTTCTAGTTTCTTTATCTCAAAAAATAGCATCATTTCAACCAATCAAAGTACAGAAACGTACAGAAACGTACAAATTCGGCATGGGATTTTTTTGACGTTAAAGAAACCAAAAAAAGATTTTTCATTGGGTTAGCACTGGGTTAGCACTGGGTTAGCACTGGGTTAACACTGGGTTAGCACTGGGTTAACACTGAAAACTAGCGAAAACAGGATGCGTCTATCATTTTTGACAGAGTCTATAGGCGTAACTGACTGACTGACTGACTGACTCAAACTGACTCAAATATCGTACCCCGAAAAGCATAGGGCTAAAATTTCGACTTTCAGATTCACTACATTAAAGAGCGAAACATTGGCGGGGTGATGATTTGGGCTATTGATTTCGATGATGAAAAACTCTCACTTTTACAGGTACAACGGAATTTGAACGAGCGAATTTAATAAGAAATTCGATAATGAGCTTTTTAGGCAGCAACGGGCGGTGAGATCTGCACAAGTCCATTCAAGAAAGAGTTCCCCTACAAGTGCTCACCGGTCGACGATCAACGATGGTGGACTTTTGAGGATAAACCGGTCAGTCAGTTAAACCGGTTACAGTAGACCATACCTACCGTAATCTGGGTTGTCGCAAAGATGGGGAACTAGCTGATATAGACAGATTGGGTAAATGTTTACAAAGGTATTTATAAAAGAAAGATTGGCATGGTAGCCAGGAGATGGTTTAGAAAGCCTATCCAACGCCAATGCAATGTTATAAACAAATTTCAGGAACATGCTGGGATGTGTGGCCGCTCGGCTCCTCTCTACAATGATTATTATCCAGTGTGCGATCCGGATGATCCAGGTTGTTAAATGAATTAGTGAATAATCGATAATGACTCTACTTTACCCACTCTTCCACGAGTGAAGACCAAGACGCATGATTTAACACTGCTTAAAGTCTTAAAGCTAAAGATCTAACACTGCTAAAAGTGCTTAAAGTCTTAAAGTGAAAAGTCCGACTCTTTTCCGAGGCTTTCCTGTTTTTACTAAAGCTCCTTGAAGTCAGCAATCAAATCAAATACAGAAAAAGCTATCAATTTCTTTTAGGACACGCTTGCTGTGGGAAATACGGTTATTGTGGGTCGGGACCTGAGTTCTGCGGCTGTGCAAGTTGTGTCGATTATGGAGCCGATCCGTCGTTGATCCTCAAAGAACCGATTCGGCCAGAGAGAAAAGTGACTTGGTTGGTAGGCAGGCTCGATTAGAAAGCAATTAGTCATGTTAAAAGGACTTTAAAGATTCAAAGAAAAGCAATCGTAATCCATAATCGTAATCGGAATCTTGATCGCAAAGAAATCGTAATAGCAATAGCGTAATAGCGTAATTGTGTCTTCGGTTCCGTCAACTGTACAGACGAGCAATGTTTCGATGGCTTTCCGAGGATAATAGTAATAGTAACCGTAATTTCCAGGGATTACGATAGCTCATCTTTTTTACCCACTCTTCCACAAGTGAAGAGCAAGACGCATGATCTAACACTGCTTAAAGACTTAAAGCTAAAGATCTAACACTGCTTAAAGTCTTAAAGCTAAAGATCTAACACTGCTTAAAGACTTAAAGCTAAAGATCTAACACTGCTTAAGTCTTAAAGCTAAAGATCTAACACTGCTTAAAGTCTTACTAAAGATCTAACACCGATTAAAGTCTTAAAGCTAAAGATCACACTGCTTAAAGTGCTTAAACTCGACTACGGTAGCTTTTCCTGAAAACCCTTTAGAAAACACCTTTAACCAAGAGTTGCCAGGAAAATTCAAGTCCATTAGGTATACGCTTGCATCCGGCGAGGGTCGACGTGGTCGTTGTGGCCCAATGGCTCCACATTTGGATGGAGGACCGGCCACTTGCAATCCGGATGATCCAAGTGCTAAGTGTTGCTCAAATGGGGGTTATTGTGGATCGACAAAGGTAGAGAAAGATCTTCTAATTTACATAAGAATCAATTTAGGAACACTGTGAGTGCCAGGGTTGCGTCGATTTCTCGAAAACCCCTGACTATCACTGGAAACCGGTTGAGTGGTGGACGTTCGCCGAGAACTCGAATCACATTGGTGAGTGCTAAAGATCTTGCTCTTGCTAAAGACCTTGCTCTTGGTAAAGACCTTGCTCTTGCTATTTTCCACCTACTCTACCGTTTTCTAGGCAAGTGTGGCCCCGGTGCTCCAGTTTTGCCGAGTGGCAAGACTCCAAAATGTGATCCAGACTCAAATGCGCCATGTTGCAGTCAATCAGGTACAAAATGTTAGATTTATCTGTTAGATCTGCCTGTTAGATTTACCTGTTAGATCTACCTCTTAGATTTACCTGTTAGAATATCCTGGTCTGGTTTAATCTTGGCTTATCTACCTTGACCAATCCGTCTGTAAGAAATATTTCTCTGCTAGGCTTTGTACTCTTAACTATAGCCAGCTATTTAGAGCCAGCTATTTAGAGCCAGCTATTTAGAGCTAGCTATTTAGAGCTAGCTATTTAGAGCCAGCTATTTAAAGCCAGCTATTTAGGGCCAGCTATTTTCCTTGTTTAAAGCTATTGCTCTCTCTAATGTATTTTAAATCTGGAAAATACCGCACTTTTATGCCAACTTGCAGACGAGATGAAACTTGAACAAATTAGGCAACTTTTATACTTTTCACAAGCAAGAGGCAACGGGAAAACAAACTTTACTATTGTGTGGATATAACTTGCAACAATTGAAAAGAAGATTTCACAGCTTAAATGGGAAAAAACGTCTACGCAAAGATATTCAGTTGAACTTGGGGAGACTACTGTATTGGGGAGAAAAAGTGGAGACGTAATCGACTCTATATAAAAGAACAGTGTCTGTCTGTGCATCTGTCTGTCTGTCTATTTGCCTGTCTGTTTGTCTGGCTGTGCATCTGTCTGTCTGTCTATTTGCCTGTCTGTTTCCCTGTCTGTCTGTCTATCTGTTTGTCTGTCTGTTTGTCTGTCTGTCCGTCTGTCCATCTGTCTATCTGTCTGTACGGGCATTTTGCCATGTTTTGCCCAATAAAGCTAAAACTTCTTCAGAAAACCTTAGAATATATTGTAGTTAGTCATTTCAAAGAGAAAATTAAAATTGAGTAGCACTACGAGGGTCGAACCCGGACCTTGTTGGCCGTAGACAAGCGCGCTTCCGGCAGCGCCACGGCGACAAAGTTTCCCCAAAGCATCTAGCGAGAAAAATCAGCTGTTAAACCAGCTGTTAGGCGGGTTTTTCGGCTGGTTTGAATACAATTCCCCAACTTGTAGCGGCGATTCGCCACATTGTTATAAATCCGCTCCAACTCATCCCATTGCAGGCTACTGTGGCAACGGTGCTCTATACTGTGAATGCCAAGGATGTGTCGATTTCAAGAAAACCCCGAACTGGGAATGGAGGCGCCAAGTGGTGACCGTGGTCTCGAGTTCACCGTCACCAAATGCACCATATGGATAAATTGTGTCGAATCTTTGCATGTGGCTCTTTCAATTGTACACATAACATTGACAAATAAAGCATTTCCGGCAAGTAAACATTTCCATTTTGCTAGCAAAAGTTTAAATTCAAAATTGGCGAATTTGGCACTTTAGGTGAAAATTCTGTATAAGTTTTGTATATAAATTTTAATGCTAAAAAGGAAACGCACTTATCAATACGCTAAATGTAAACAACAGCAACAACAACGTTAACGCTAACAACAACAACGTTAACGCTAACAACAACAACGTTAACGCTAACAACAACAACGTTAACGCTAACAACAACAACGTTAACGCTAACAACAACAACGTTAACGCTAACAACAACAACGTTAACGCTAACAACAACAACGTTAACGCTAACAACAACAACGTTAACGCTAACAACAACAACGTTAACGCTAACAACAACAACGTTAACGCTAACAACAACAACGTTAACGCTAACAACAACAACGTTAACGCTAACAACAACAACGTTAACGCTAACAACAACAACGTTAACGCTAACAACAACAACGTTAACGCTAACAACAACAACGTTAACGCTAACAACAACAACGTTAACGCTAACAACAACAACGTTAACGCTAACAACAACAACGTTAACGCTAACAACAACAACGTTAACGCTAACAACAACAACGTTAACGCTAACAACAACAACGTTAACGCTAACAACAACAACGTTAACGCTAACAACAACAACGTTAACGCTAACAACAACAACGTTAACGCTAACAACAACAACGTTAACGCTAACAACAACAACGTTAACGCTAACAACAACAACGTTAACGCTAACAACAACAACGTTAACGCTAACAACAACAACGTTAACGCTAACAACAACAACGTTAACGCTAACAACAACAACGTTAACGCTAACAACAACAACGTTAACGCTAACAACAACAACGTTAACGCTAACAACAACAACGTTAACGCTAACAACAACAACGTTAACGCTAACAACAACAACGTTAACGCTAACAACAACAACGTTAACGCTAACAACAACAACGTTAACGCTAACAACAACAACGTTAACGCTAACAACAACAACGTTAACGCTAACAACAACAACGTTAACGCTAACAACAACAACGTTAACGCTAACAACAACAACGTTAACGCTAACAACAACAACAACAACAACAACAACAACAACAACAACAACAACAACAACAACAACAACAACAACAACAACAACAACAACAACAACCTTAACTTTAAATTAGGGTAAAAATCGTGGCCTATTCTCAATAAAATCATTTTTTCTTGAGAAAATTCATTTATTTCATCGTGTTTATTTGTTAGATTTATTGCTGGAAATGATAAAAATGAATTGACAAAATGAATTTCAGCTCAAAATAGAGTTTATTCACATTTCGCGTCGCCAATCTTTTAGGTTTTTTTTCTGAATTCTTTATTTTCTTTTGGTTTTTGGTGTTTTTGGTGCTTTTATATGTGTTTTATAGTTTATAAAAGTTTCATTTTAGATTAAACAATGAGGAGGAAGTTGAGGAGGAAGTTGTCTCGAAGCCCAAGTATCGTCTGGCAGAATTCGAACAGCTGGAATTGCTTCTTCAACATTGTCACCTTTGTAAGCTGATGGAAAAACTACCGAAAAAGGGAGAAACAGTCAGTGGACGGAAATAAATTTTACCGCCACAACGATATCCTCGAAAGAGAAAAAATAGAGGCCCCCCGATTGTTACTCCGGAGGGCCCCCCCGATTGTTACCCCGGAAGGCCCCCCCCCCCCCGATTGTTACCCCGGAGGGCCTCCCCCCCGATTGTTACCCCGGAGGCCCCCCCCCCGATTGTTACCCCGGAGGGCCTCCCCCCCCGATTGTTACCCCGGAGGGCCTCCCCCGATTGTTACCCCGAGCCCCCCGATTGTTACCCCGGAGGCCCCCCGATTGTTACCCCGGAGGGCCTCCCCCCGATTGTTACCCCGGAAGGCCCCCCTCCCTTTAAGTTACCGTATTTTCAATAATAGTAGTGCACCCTGAGCGTCGCCTAAATTCCTCGAAATCTCGAGAACCGCTTATCAGAACCTATCGATGTGGGGTCGGAAAATGTAGCTCACGATGAGATCTAGTGGGGGATTTGAATGTTGAGCTTCCGCGAAAGCTTGGAAACCGTAAAATAGTCACCAACTCGGCTCGCCGGGGTGTACTACTATTAGAGGAAATACAGTACTTTTTTTCAAAAAATTATTGACTTTTGTGCTGTTGCTTGCTTAGAAGTGCTTATGGAAAGCACCTACTATAGGTCGGATAAACAAATTTATGCTAATTTTTCTTAAAAGAATCAAAACTAAAATGTGATTCTAACATTTTTAATGTCTCGTAAATTTGAAAACTGTTAAATAGTGAAGACTTTTGTTAAACAAAAACAATTGGAATCTGACTCCTGAAATTTAGTGATCGAGTGATGAATCGATTTTTGCTATTTTGTAATATCAAATTGAGTAAACTGTAAAAATAATGTAGAAATTCGAGTTTATTCTAACTTCTATACACTGCTTTCTTCACGATTTTTCTTCATACTTTATCAGATAAGCTTTAACTTTCTTTTCAGTCCCTCCATTTCCTTTTTACCTCACCACTTTCTTCAGGATTCTTAAAATAAAACCCAACAAACTAGTCGCAATGAATTAATGGTTAAAAATCAATGGTTTTAAAGCTTTTTCAAATCTAATTTCTAAAACCACTCAGTTATTTAGGGTTTTCGAATCTAATCGTCTAAGAATAAAGATAAAATTAAATTTTTCTTTCCTTTTCTTCCTTTTTCAATCTCTGATTTTGAGACTGAATGGGTTCCATTGTTTTTGTTGTTGTCTGGTTGTTTCTTCTATCTTCCGTTCTTCATTTACCAAGAAGTTGTTCGCAAATTGGGTACGGTTTTACAATAACAATAATGGTTTTTGAGCTTTCAAAGCCTTTGAGCCTAAGCCTTTGAGCCTTTGAGCCTAAGCCTTCAAGCTTTCAAAGCCTTTGAGCCTTCAAAGCCTTTGAGCCTTCAAAGCCTTTGAGCCTTCAAAGCCTTTGAGCTTTTGAGCCTTTGAGCCTAAGCCTTTGAGCCTTCAAAGCCTTTGAGCCTTCAAAGCCTTTGAGCTTTTGAGCCTTTGAGCCTAAGCCTTTGAGCCTTTGAGCCTAAGCTGCGTCCCCATAAATGTGTTTCCTTGAGTGGAAATGGATTACGAGTCCAAAGTCCCCATAAATATTCAACTATTGAATCAAAATCACCTCAAAAGTCCCAAATATTAAACTAATAGCAATAGAAGCGTTAATCTCGAGCCAAAATGCCAGTGCAACACCATTGTTGATGGACTCGTTGAGTCGTTGTTGATGGACTTGTTGATGGACTTGTTGAGTCGTTGTTGATGGATTTGTTGAGTGTTGATGGACTTGTTGAGTGTTGATGGACCGATCTGTTGATGGACCGAAATGTGTTTCCTTGAGTGGAAATGGATTACGAGAAAAAAAAAGTGCCATCTTTGTCTAAAACTATTAGAGAAAAGCGAAGACCCGCGGCGCTTTTCCGGCTTTTTTTTGTTTGTGTTTTCTCATTTTTCTTGTTCCGTGTAACAGACACAAACCACTCATTTCCCCCCTTGATCTTTTCCTCAACGAAAAGATCAAACATTTCCTTGTCTTCCTACAAAAACACCGAATTCAACACCGAATTCTTTCGTGTAATCGAGAAATTCATTCAGAAAATGACGACTTCTAAAACTTTTCTTTTCGATTAGCCAGCCAATCAAATTCTTTTCGATTAGTCAGCCTTTTCTAGTCAAATGCCTCTTTCTCTTGCCTTTCCAATGTATTGGGTTGGTGAATTGAAAACTGCGGGACTAAACGGGACTTTGAACTAAAATTTATTCAACATAAAACCATGAATTCATTCGAAATATTCCATTATTATAATTCCATTATTATAATCCCATTATTATTGACGACTTCTGCCCATTTTACAGGCAATTTGTGGATTCCTCTTTCGTAGTAGGATTTTGGTTTTGAATCGAAAAACTTTCAAAGCCAATTTTTGACTACTTCTTCCGAATCAAAGTGTTCTCCCGCGAGCTCATTACTCATGGTCCGGAATAAATCGTAATCAGAAGGGGCAAGGTCCGGACCGTATGGGGGAACTGCCAAAAGTGCCCAACCAAGGCTGTTCATTTTAGAGCGAGTCAGTTTTGCAACATGAGGGCGCGCGTTGTCGTGAAGGAGAACGATCTTTGACCTGAAGGGCCTATTCTTCAGGCTCATTACTCATGATCCAGAACTTCCCAACTGTTCATTATATGTGATTGCATTAACGGTCGTCTTGCTATCCAGCAACTCCCAGTACACCTGACTCTTTCGTAGTAGGATTTTGGTTTGTGTGTGAGACAAGTGTGAGACTTAAAAATGGAGGACTGGAGATGGAGACTAGAGGTCCCAGTTTGAGCACTTTCTTCAAAAGAAACCCATTTTGGTGTCAATACAAAAGTTGTAGAGAATCAAAAATTAGGCTTATAGCCATATTTCCAAAAAGATACACTCAGTAGTTTCGCTTAAAATGCAAGTTTTGTGAGAATTTGGCATTTCTTTCTTAAATTTGGCATTTCTTGAAAAGCAGTTTTTGAATCGTTCTGAAAATTAGGATATAAGCTTGATTTTTGATTCTCTACAACTTTTCCATTGATACCAAAATGGGTTTCTTTTGAAGAAAGTGCTCAAACTTTCACATTTGACAATAGCCCGCAGTTTTCAATTCACCAACCCAATAAAAGAAAATTGATTTAAGGGAATTTTCCGCTTAAACGCTTCCAAAACCTTTTCCAAATCGATTTCAAGAAGCTCTTCTTGTTAAAACGTTTATTTTAACTTTACTTTAACTTTACTTTAACTTTATTTATCTATAGCTTCTATGGTTAGACCGACATTTCAATCCTTTTTTGCCAGTTTCGTTGATTTCTCAGTAAAAGTTTTCTTTTAGAATTGCAATTTGGGTTATTAGAGGATCAAATTTTGAATTTGATTTGAGTTTTGGTTATTAGAGGAACAAATTTATTGTATTTGAAATCTTTAGCATTACTTTGACTCTTTGAAGCCATCAAATCAAAATCAAAGCTATCAAACTACCGAGTTCTCAGATTCTAGAGAATAGATTCTTGGTTCTCTCTGCATTTTCTAAATCATATCCCCTTTTGTAGTGATTATTGTTGGTTTAGATATAATCTTTATTACAGAAATAATAGTTGGTTCAGTGGTTTGACATTGGGAGAGTAGAGGCACTCCACGGCACACACCTCGGCAGCTCGTTCACATTGCTTTTTTACGGAACTCGGGCGTTCGTCTCGTCTTCCAGACATTGGAGTTGAACGGATAGCGACACTAGGTGTCTAGCTGGCCATTTCCATACGTGGCAATCTCGATCACGAGATCGTCACGACACCTTTCTACCGTAATCTTATCTCAATTTTTATTTAATCCATCGACTTTTTCGTTTAATTCTGTGACTTTTTACTGTATGTGATTACAAATGTCCAATAACCTCTTTCTAAGCCGTGTCCTCTTTCTCTGGTAGGTGTAACAAAAGATATCGAAAGATAAAAAAAAAGTAGATGGATTGGGTAAAAATAGAGAAAAGATTACGGTAGAAAGAGAAAGAGGACACGGCTTAGAAAGAGGTTATTGGAAATTTGATACCTTTGCCGTCGGTCCAAACCTAGAAAGTTTTGATAATTATTTGTATAATATAACAGATTAAACAAGCTCAAATTCTTGGTTATTCTGTAAGAGTTGAAGAATATTAGGTCAGCTTTTGATTCAGCAGCTATCTATAGGATTGTGGGACATTTGATAGGCCCCCGCCCCCTTTGCCATTAGCAATCTAACTTTGAGCTTTAATATCTTGGCTTTGGGCTGCTCAATTTAACCGTTCTTGGTATCATTGGATCAGCCAAGTCTTTCTCTTTCGATTGGTACCAAAACTATTGAAATTGGACAGCTCAACACCAAGAAATTTGAGCTCAAAGTTAGATTGCCAATGGCAAAAGAGCCGGGCGCGTATAAAAGGACTTTCTGATCCCGCTCCTTTTGCCAATCCAACTTTGCGCTCAAATATCTTCGTGTTGAGCTGTCCAATTTAAATAGTTTTTGTACCAATCGAAAGAGAAAGACTTGGCGCATCCAATGATACCAAGAACGGTTAAATTGAGCAGCCCAAAGCCAAGATATTAAAGCTCAAAGTTAGATTGCCAAAGGCAAAGGAGGTAGAGCGTTTCTTTTATTCGCGTCCCCCTTTTGCATTACTACTTATACTATCAACTAGTACTTATGTACTATTTGTGATACTTAGCAAGGTATTGTATCAGCTGATAACTGGTACTGATAAAAGTTACAAGATTACGGTAGTCGAGAAAGTTGGGACACTTTAGAAAACGGATAAATCAAGAGGACTGGTCAACGTTTTTTCGATAAAGCCGTCGAGATCTGAGTGATGGTCAGTGATTGCGTGTGTGTGTGTGTGTTTGTGTACGTTTGTTGTCAATCATCATCATCAAATCAAGGGCCTTAAAAAGGGCCACTCAACGCACACGTGTTGGCGCATCGATGCGCGGAAAAAGAAGTGCAGAAAAATGTTGATTGGGAGAGAGAGCTTGACACGCACAATTTTCTTTCTTCAACCATTTCCCTCTATTTTCTGAATCTTTCTCAATCTGAATCTTTTCCTCGATGTTTACCCAGCATTTCCCCTGCCCGTCGGAGTAGGGCAAACCTTTTCTCTTCTCCTTTTCCCTTCTCCTTTTCCCTTCTCCTTTTCCATTCTCCTTTTCCCTGTTCTCTCTTTTTCTATTAGCAGATCTTTTCAGCATTTTTCAGCATTTACTCATCGCCTCAGCATTCTCCTGAACCCTGAGATTGAATATTGAATATTTTCTAATATTTCTGTGAATTTGTTTTCTTTTCAATGATTATGGAAGTCAAACCGTATACTGGAGGCACTTTTCAGGTAAAAGAATGATCAAATTCAGATGAAAATTCAGATGAAAACATATACCGTAAATACTGTAATAGTACCCCACCGCCCTCGTACAGTCGCGTAGTCGCAAAAGTCGCAAAAGTTTTTTTTAGTATTTCATTTTTATCAAAGCGCCCGTACTTTCAAAAAATGCGTCTTTGGCATCAAAAAATAGCCCTGAATTTCAGCTATTTTTTGATACCTAAGCGCGCATTGTAGCATAAACCAGTGTCGAGAGAAACACGTTCAAAGCTAGACTAGCTGAACTCAGCAGCCAACTAATCAGCTGGACCCAGGTTTCTCCCAGGCCCAGGTTTCCATTACAGTATTTACGGTAACTCAATTTCCCCATGAGAAACTTCTCGTTTTAAGTCATAAAAGATTCATAAGATTGAAAAAAAATGACAAAAAAAGCGATACAAGCTCCGCATTTGAGTCAAACTCGTTGCAGGAAACTCTATTTTTCTTTTTGGTAGCCAAAGATCTATGAATTTCTAAATTTCAAATAGCTGAAGCTTTAAATTGCCCAAGCTGAAGCTTCAAATTAATAAAGAAAAAGATTTAAAGACAAAAAAACTACTTTTGTCGACTTTTGCTTCATCTAAGTGATGGAAAAGGTTCAAAATTTCAGAAGATTGGCTCCGAAGAATCGCACACGGTTGAGACTTACGAGAGGAAGATTCATGGAACCGAGAGCTCGGAGGTAAAAAGATGGTCATCGTGAAAAGTAGACAGAAAAGTAGACAGAAAAATCGACAAACAGCATGAAAGCCAACTCCCAAAAAGCTTTCATTTGTACTAAAAAAGCTTTTGAAAGACATAGTATGGTTTTTTCTTGGCAAAATCAAATCGGATCGGACTAGCCCGATCGATTCGACCGAGCGAAAATGTGTTATCTCTTATCTCAGCTTTAAATTTCTAAAAAACTCGAGCTTTTCGTTTAGAACTCAAATTGAGTGTTCTCAAAGTGTTCAATTGATTCAGCTGTTTATAAATTCGAAAAAGAGATTTCACGTTTCACAAAACAATTGAGCTAGCCTAATCGGTTGAATGGATCAGATCAGATCTGGCTAGCCTAATCGGTTGGACAGATCGAATCGAATTGAGCGAGCCCGATTGGTCGGACCTATTGGATCTGATCCGATCCGATCCGATAACCATGTGTACAACATACTCTTCCATTTAGCCTCAAAGACAGCTCAGCTCAAAGCAGTACACTGAGAGGCGAACTTATGGACGAGACGAGAATGGAGATATTGTTGTGAAAGTGGAAAAAAATGTGAGTTTGGAAGTTCTTTATCTTTGTCTCTTTCAAAGTCAAAGCAAAGAGATAGCTCACTTCGAAAACAGAAGCCCCACTTTTCCGGGGCGCTGAATTCCTTGTCTTCTCGTGATATTTGATGATTCATTGGCCAAAATGTGTGTTTTTGCGTTTTTCGAGCTCAAAATGAGCGCAACAAGAGCAACTAGAGCTTGTCAACAAGTTAGAGCTCGTCAACAAGCTAGAGCTTGTCAACAACCTAGAGCTTGTCAACAACCTAGAGCTCGTCAACAAGCTAGAGCTTGTCAACAAGTTAGAGCTCGTCAACAAGCTAGAGCTTGTCAACAACCTAGAGCTTGTCAACAACCTAGAGCTCGTCAACAAGCTAGAGCTCGTCAACAAGCTAGAGCTCGTCAACAAGCTAGAGCTTGTCAACAAGCTAGAGCTTGTCAACAAGCTAGAGCTTGTCAACAACCTAGAGCTTGTCAACAACCTAGAGCTCGTCAACAAGCTAGAGCTCGTCAACAAGCTAGAGCTTGTCAACAAGCTAGAGCTTGTCAACAACCTAGAGCTTGTCAACAACCTAGAGCTTGTCAACAACCTAGAGCTTGTCAACAACCTAGAGCTTGTCAACAACCTAGAGCTTGTCAACAACCTAGAGCTTGTCAACAACCTAGAGCTCGTCAACAAGCTAGAGCTCGTCAACAAGCTAGAGCTTGTCAACAAGCTAGAGCTCGTCAACAAGCTAGAGCTTGTCAACAAGCTAGAGCTTGTCAACAAGCTAGAGCTTGTCAACAAGCTAGAGCTTGTCAACAAGCTAGAGCTTGTCAACAAGCTAGAGCTTGTCAACAAGCTAGAGCTTGTCAACAAGCTAGAGCTTGTCAACAAGCTAGAGCTTGTCAACAAGCTAGAGCTTGTCAACAAGCTAGAGCTTGTCAACAAGCTAGAGCTAAGCTTTTGAAAGCTTCCTTGGCTAAACACAGTTCAATCTTCTTGCTCACTTTGTGCGCATCAAATTTTTGTAAACCTTTACGCTGATTACCCAATTTTGCTGAGTGACAATCGGTGTTGCGAGAAAATGACAAGTGCAATGATTTAGTGCACTAGAAAAGTTCAAAATTGTACCACAAATCCTTATAGTGCACCGATCACTGAGAGAAAATGAAATTCTTTGCCCCAGTTTCCATTTCTTTAGCTCAAAGTACACGAGAAACTAGTCAATCTTTGGCAGCAAGAACTGGTAATCGATTTTCAATCCTTTTTGATCTTAAAAGTAAAGAATTCTCATTGATCTTCTCATTTTTTTCGCTTCTTTTCGCTTCTTTTCGCTTCTTTTCGCTTCTTTTTCACTCCTCAACTTTTCTGATTCAACGACTACTCAAGTTTTCCCTTTCCCCCATTCTTTTAGAAAACCTTTTCTCTGAAACGATCTTTTCTGTATATTTACTCTCAGAGTTCGGGCTTTTTTCTCGGAAATCGCTTAGAGAACAACTTTTTGCAGTGAAGAGAAGAATTGATAAGGGATCAGGCTAAGGATATAGGAATCTTAGCGTTAGAATTGTTGAAAAGCGATGTAACGACCATGTAACGCCATGTAACGCCATGAAAAGCCATGTAACGACTTCTAAAATGCGAAAGTTTGCTAGTTTAGCTAAATTCTAGATATTATTCAATTAGAAATTTGATTTATTTATTTATTTATTTAGTTATTTAGTTATTTCTTTATTTCTTTATTTACAAATATTATTTTATTGTAGTTTTCAGGAAGAATCAAACATCGATCTTGATTGAGTCAAATTGATTCGTTGATTCACTAAATAAAAGTAACTAAAAACTTCCCCAGTTTCTAGTTACTTTTATTTATTCTCAAGAACAGATCAGAACTACTGACATTCATGAATAAGATCTTTCATTTCTTCATCATGTTTTATGTTTTTCTTCTTTCAAAACAAAGAAGAACGGGGTCGAATTGAGAGTGAATCAAGAGTGAGAATGGGAAAAACTAGTCGTGAGTCAATTCAAAAGAAATGCGGGATTGTACTTGTGATTGATGTGAATAAGAAAATGAGAAGCGCTTGGAAAGAGGCAAATGTTTGTTCGCGTAAACACTCGAGGGAAAGAGAAAAGGGAAAGAGAAAAGGAAAGAGAAAAGGGCAAAGAGGTTGATGGGGGGTTGGGAGAGCTTGGAAACGAACACCATTTCGCTTGACAATGAGCTCAAAATGAGCTTTTCTAGGTGGATTTTAGAAAGTTTTTGAGCTCTTTAACGATATGGCGCTCGTTATAATCGTTATAATTCCTTACAGCTGGACTCATTCGTTCGCTACCTAAATCGGAGTCGAATTGATTAAGAATTGATCGAATTGATCAAGAATTGATCAAGAATTGATCAAGAATTCATCGAATTGTTCAAGAATTCATCAAGAATTGATCGAATTGTTCAAGAATTCATCAAGAATTGATCGAATTGTTCAAGAATTCATCAAGAATTGATCGAATTGTTCAAGAATTGATCAAGAATTCATCGAATTGTTCAAGAATTGATCAAGAATTCATCGAATTGTTCAAGAATTGATCAAGAATTCATCGAATTCATCAATTCAATACGATACGGTGCGCACTTTTCCTTGAAGCTGGACTTATCCTTAGAGCTTCGTTCGCTGCCTAAATCCGAGTCGAATTGATCAAGAATTGATAGAATTCATCAAGAATTGATCGAATTCATCAAGCATTGATCGAATTAATCACGAGTTGATCGAATAGATCTTTAGTATCGTGGAGGAGGAGGTAGCCAATTATCGGAGGGGAGTAGATGTCAGTGATGTCAGTTTTTGATCAGTTTTGAGCAGAGTTTTGACGTTAAAGACCTCTGCCAAACATCAGGCTGACATCAGGCTAGGATAAATACACCAAACTCTTGTTAATTCAGCCTAATCTGATGTCACTTGGGCAAAGGTAGTTTGCCGGTTTTGGGGACGTCCCCTGAACCTTTAGCCAACATACCAACATACCAATCTACCCGATACTAAAGAAGTACCCAAATTTCTATGCTTGAGCTGTTCTATGCCACATACAAAACTTGATGCTTTATTTTGCCTTTTTCTCTTCATACTAGCAAAATATCTAATTTTCAGCCATCCGAGCCCGTCCGCCCAGTCTCTCCAGTCTCTCCAGTGATGCCCGTGGGAGAGCTGGCAAACTCTGGTACGCAAAAAACAACAATTTCCAGTCTAATTTCCAGTTTTCTAAATTTCTTTGTTTTTTGTAGACCTTCTTCGACCCGTTGAACCCCTCCGACCATTGTCGATCCCGAGAATCGAGCTCAAAAAGAACACCCCATCACCGAGAAGCCCAAAAAGCCCGCGAAGTCTCTATTATGGAGGTTTGAAAAGAAACAACTATATTGTTAGCTATATATTGTTGGCCATTGTTGGCCATTGTAGACATTGTAGACATTGTAGACAAGCTTTCAGACGAATTGGTGGCTGATGTCGGTGAGCGGCGATCGATTTCCCCGAGATCCGTTCGATCGGGTCCAATCTCGCCGAGAAGCAATGCAAGTGGAGGATCGGTTGGAAGTCAATCAGCGATTCCGATGAAAAAGGTGAGAAATTGGGGAATTTCGTTGCACAAATCTAGTCAATTCGTTTTGGCTTGTAAAGAAAGGGCACAGAAAGTTTAAGCCGTTTAATAGGCACAGCAAGCACAGCAAGCACAGCAAGCACAGCAAGCACAGCAAGCACAGCAAGCACAGCAAGCACAGCAAGTACAGCAAGCACAGTAGGTTTTTGAGTTTTTCAGTGAAATGAGATATTAGGTTTTTCCTTTGTAAATGCGCTTTTGTAAGAGAATCTTTATTTAATAACTCTTTCTTTAACTCTTTATTTTAAAAGTAAGAGTTTAACAGCCCAAACAACAATATATTCACCATCTGTTAACAATCTTTTTTTTCAATCTTCCTTGCAACGGCAAAAATTGGCTTATTTTGAGGCAAAGAAGTCGGCTAACCATTTTTCGACTTCGTTTCCATCTTTTGAGATCATGTTTTTTCAGGTGATCACAAAGAAAAGACTTGTCTCGATTCACGATGGTCGACCGATTAGCCCTTTCGTTGAAACGATCACATGGGAACCCGCCTATCCGGATAGATACAGCAGGTTAGATACTCACGACTAGTATCAGATTAGATACAGCAGGTTAGATACAGTAGGTTAGATACAGCAGGTTAAATACAGCAGATTAGATACTCACCATCAGTTAGATACAGCTGGTTAGATACTCCCCATCGGTATCAGGTTAGCTACAGCAGGTTAGCTACTCCCCATCAGTTAGATACAGCAGGTTAGCTACTCCCCATCGATATCAGGTTAGCTACAGCAGGTTAGCTACTCCCCATCAGTTAGCTACAGCAGGTTAGATACTCCCCATCAGTTAGATACAGCAGGTTAGCTACTCCCCATCAGTTAGATACAGCAGGTTAGCTACTCCCCATCAGTTAGATACAGCAGGTTAGCTACTCCCCATCGATATCAGGTTAGCTACAGCAGGTTAGCTACTCCCCATCAGTTAGCTACAGCAGGTTAGATACTCCCCATCAGTTAGATACAGCAGGTTAGCTACTCCCCATCAGTTAGATACAGCAGGTTAGCTACTCCCCATCAGTTAGATACAGCAGGTTAGCTACTCCCCATCGATATCAGTTTAGCTACAGCAGGTTAGCTACTCCCCATCAGTTAGATACAGCAGGTTAGCTACTCATCATCCATATCAGATTAGATACAGACCAACCAATTTTGTGTTTTGTATGTTCTCAAGCTGTATTTACAATTAGTATTTCAAAAAGATCAAACTAAAAGTTCCCCACTAGCGAACCTGAAAATCCAATACTGGAATCGCATTGAAACCGCATTGAAACCGTATTGGAGCCGTATTGGATCAAAATAGGAACCGTCTTGGCACCGTATTGAAACCGTATTGGATCAAAATAGGAACCGTATTGGAACCGTCTTGGCACCGTATTGTATTTCAGACAGATCGAGCTAAAAGTTAGGCTTTCGATAGCGTTCGATAGGTTCCGATCAAAGAAATGACATTAGTTGGCTGTCCAGAAAGTCTTTTCGGTCCATACTTTCGTTAAAAAATAGCAAATTCACCAATTAACCATTCACCAATGGTTTCATCATAATAAAAAGTGTTTATTGTTCATTTTCCCATCATTTCATGTCAATTTGGGTTCACTTTCAAACAAATTCAAGAGGGAAGGATGTGTTTTTCGTAAAAATCTGTAAAAGCCTCTACGAAGAAATTGGCTGAATGAATTTCTTTGAAAATTTCGCTATACATCAAGCTTTTTATGCTCTATCTTTTATCTATTGACACCAAGGTCTATCTTTTATCCATTTTGCTTTATCTTTTATCAATTAACATCTAGATTTCTTTAGCAAAAGTGTCTAAATCTCTTTGTTGAGTCTAAATTGTGTTAACCCTGAATCTCTTTTGTTACATTACTTTAATGAAACAGATTAGTGGGGCATTAGCTTTAGCTTTGTCTTCCTTTCGAGTCAAATTTGCCTTTTTTTGACTATCCGGTTTTACGTTCCAAAAAGAAAATCAGAAATAAGACATTTTAAGCGGGTTTAATGTTATTTTGTAGAGAAATAATTGGGCTTTCTAATGAAATAAGCTGTAATTCAATTGGTGCATTTGTTGGCTTTAAAAAGAAGGAGAAAGGGGGACAAAAGGGAAACAAAAAGGAAAAGAAAAGGAAACGAAAAGACTTTCTGGATAGCCTAGCTCAGTTATTTCAGAAAAGAAGATGATTTGCATATAAAGATTGTATTCTATTGTATGCTATTGTATTCTAATTTCTAATTTCTAATCGCTTTAATCGTTTTAATCGTTTGCATCTGATCGGAGAGACCGAGAAGATAGATTTGACTTTGCAAAATTTGAATTCTGAAACTCTTTTGATTTCTAAACTTTATCGCCTATTGTAAAGTGGAAAAAGAGAAAGTTTTCTATGTACTAACTGGATTAAAACGTGCTAAAGATCAATGCAAATCATCTACAAGCTAATGTACAACTTAGTCTAATGTACAACTCAGTCTAATGTACAACTCAGTCTAATGTACAACTTAGTCTAATGTACAACCCAGTCTAATGTACAATGTACAATGTACAACTCAGTCTAATGTACAACTCAGTCTAACGTACAACTGAGTCTAATGTACAATGTACAATGTACAACTCAGTCTAATGTACAACTCAGTCTAATGTACAACCCAGTCTAATGTACAACTCAGTCTAATGTACAACTCAGTCTAATGTACAACTCAGTTTAATGTACAACTCAGTCTAACGTACAACTGATTCTAATGTACAACTGAGTCTAATGTACAATGTACAATGTACAACTCAGTCTAATGTACAACTCAGTCTAATGTACAACTCAGTCTAATGTACAACTCAGTCTAATGTACAATGTACAATGTACAAATCTTTCAGTTCATCTCGTCATTCATCTCGTGCCGGTAGTCGTCAATCAGGCTCTTCGACGGGCTCTCATCACCATGGTGGACATCGAATTTTGGGTCGATCCGACAGTGAATGCGCGTATCTTATTGAGAATCCATTGTACAGGGATTAAAGAAATAGTTTTACTCAAAAAAAAAGACTACAAACCTCTCTACAACCTCCTACAAACCTCTCTACAAACCTACAAAAGCTTTTTCAAATTTCTAACTTTTAAATATTGAAGACTCCGTTTATGTTTGTGATTTTGAAAATCAGTTTGCTCTTTTTCTGTTTTTCTGTTTTTCTTTCTCTTTCTAGTCTCAGCACTGCCATTTTCTCATTTTCTTCACTTTTTTTGCTCACACAATTTGATTTGTGTACATATTATACTTTTATAAGTTTGAGAAAAGCATATAAAAAGTTTTTTACATGATTTGAGTATCAGTACACTGTTGTAAATGTTGTATTTATCGATTTCCCGTGAATAACCAATTCAAAATCGTCAAATAATGAACATTCAATGGAAACTGTCGTGAAAAATGGTTTGGAAATGACAAAGTGGGTTCTCTTTCAATGCAACTTTTAACAAATTCATGACAGTTTTCGACAATTGCCTAGTAAAAGTCGAAAGTAAAGAAAAGAAAGGGAAGGATCTAAAGAATCTAAAGAATCTAAAGAACCTAAAGAATCTAAAGAACCTAAAGAATCTAAAGAATCTAAAGAATCTAAAGAATCTAAAGAATCTAAAGAATCTAAAGAACCTAGAGAATCCAAAGAACCTAAAGAATCTAAAGAATCTAAAGAGCCTAAAGAATCTAAAGAACCTAAAGAACCTAAAGAACCTAGAGAATCCAAAGAACCTAAAGAATCTAAAGAATCTAAGGAATCTAGAGAATCTAAAGAACCTAAAGAATCTAAAGAACCTAAAGAATCTAGAGAATCTACTTTAGGATTGAGAGTTTTTGAAAGGGATACTCCTGCCTCTAAAAGTTTTCTTTCAAGAATCACGATCATTTATAAATTATTCGATGACCAATGTGACCAATGTGACCAAGTTTTTCCAATAATTTTTACTCAAAGAGTTTTCAGCAAAGCTTTCAGCTGGGTATCTTAAACGGATTTTTCTCTAAACAAGATCAGACTCTCTAGAGAATGGCGATCATTTATCTATTATTCGATGCGTTTTAGTCTCCTCTACAAGTATTTCCTATACGAAAAACAAGATCTCAAATCAAGAAATAAAGAAAAACGCGATTTCTGCTTTCTATTCCACCCTAAAACGTGGATATTTGGTCAAAAAGTATATAAAAGTTCGGTCGAATTGCATTTTAGCGAATTTCCTTTTCTTTTGCATGTATTTTCTCAAATTTAACAGCAATCCTAAATTGTTTTTTTGTTTTTTTTTAATAGAAAACATTACATTCTAGAAGAATAATTTTTAAAAGTTGAAAATCAGACTTAAGAAGACGTGAAGAAGAAGCCCAATTTAACACTGATTTTCCTTGGGCCGGAGTACCTCTTGAAATCTGATTATAATCGATAATCAAACTTTTAATAATTTGCTTGATCTTTCAATACCTTCAACTACTTGCTAATTGACTGGCTAATTGACAATTGACAATCAGTAAAGTTCATTTTCGCAATTAATCCCCGTTTTTTGCTTCCCAAAGCGAAATTTAACCAAAAATTGAGACCACAGAGTAATCCCTATGCTGTTTTTTTTGAATGAGCGTCACTTTTCCCAGACGATTCCCTTTTTCGGAGTCTCAACCATTTACGGGATGACATTCTCTGCCCAAATTGTCCAGGGACTTTCCTCACAGTTTTCTACGGTTATTGGAAACCGGCGAGTGGCTGCGAATACCCATCTTGCGGTCACAAACCACCTTGCCGAAGACCCTCTTTTTATGACCCCCTCAAAGACGGTGTGCCAGAAAGCGTGCGTTTACGTGCGTGCACAAAGAACGCCGCTTGGTCGGTGGATTGTTGACTTTTTTAAGCTGAAAAAAGGATTTAAGCTGAATTTTTTGATAACTTTAGATCATTGCTTAAAAGTATCAATTATAGTGAGCCATTTGGTCTATTGATTTCAATGAAAAGATCAAAATGATGCACTTGAATACGTGAATTTGACAATCTGACAATCTGGCATCATTTTCGGTTAAATCTGCGTTTCTTCGCTTCACAAATCTTCTAGAAGCTTCAATTTCGCATTTTTGTGCCAAGATTTCTTTCATATACGTGCCATTCCTTTGAACGCTTCTGAAGAAAAGAAAGGATTAAGCCTCCGTCAGCAAAATCGAATGTTTATTACAAAAAACATTGGCTGCTAATTTTTCGGTCTTTTTCTGCTTTTTCTTTCACAAAGATGACTTTTTTTTACAAAGCTCATCGTGTTTTGTATTTTTTATCATTTAATAGAGGCTTTTCTTTCAAAAATGAAGTTTTTCCTTTGGCTCTGGGGTTTTAAAATCTTTCAATCATGCCAACCTTGATTTCGTGCTTAATTTGGTGACTAAAAGGAGCCAATTTTATAATATTTATCTTTATCTTTATCAGTTTTAGAATATTTATCTTTAACTTTATCAGTTTTATAATCTTTTTATAATCTTCACCATGTCTGATCTCTGACTAATGCAACATTTCTTTATACGACTTGAAAAGATCATCCATTTTCTATTTCTGTCCTGGCCCGGTCGATTGGCTTTCTGCATTTTCAAACATTCCTATGTATGCCGTAAAAGCTCTAATAGAAGGGCCCCTATAGAAGCGTCGCGTAATCTAAGTTTACGCTCCAAGCACCGCTCATATCTCGGCACCCAAACATTTTTTTTCTGTGCGCTTAGGTAACAAATTAAAGTAAAAAGATAACCGGATCTTTTGAGCTATTAAATATATTTTTTTTTTTCCAAAAGCTGGTTAATGTTAAAAATATGTGTGATATCTCAACAAATCACTCATCTTTCCTATTTTAATTTGATACGTAAGCGCGCAGAAAGAAATGTCTGCGTGCCGAGATAGGAGCGGTGCTTTGAGCGTTACGGGTACAAAAACATTCGATTTTGCTTTCGGAGATTAATCTTTTCTTTTCTTGAGAAGCATTCAAAGGAATAGTACGTATATGAAAGAAAACTTAGACTACGTAACGCTCTTCTATTAGAGCTTTTACGGTACTTTGCCCCATTTTCTTTTTTTGGTATATTATTCTCAATTATTCCTAATTATTCCCAATTCCAGGCATGAATTCCGACGAGCCAGCTCCCCTATTAGAAGACATCTATTCCCGGATCCAAATCGGCGAATTCCTCGAGAAAACGAGTCCGCAAAAGTTGCTCGCTTTAGAGAAAATCTATCTCACTTGCAACCCGATTGACCCAAATATGGGCCGAAAGATTTTTTTCATCGGAAAAACTCTGCCGAAGGGTTGGAATCCCGAGTGGGAACCCTGTCGAAACGGCCTAGATCCCACGAAATTCGTGCAAAACATGAAAATCGAATGCGCAAAGGTTCAGGATCACTATGAGAGGAATATCGAGAATTACAAAGATATCTCGACAGTTGAAGGCCAAAAGCGATTGGCTGAGGAAACGGGAGCACTCGGGAGTAGCTTCATTTTGCACTACTACAATCCAAGAAAGGAACCCATTGCTCCAAATCTGGCTAAGGGATGGCTAGCGTTGGCTAAAGCGCTAAATGACGGCCATTTCGGGGTGGATACGGTAATCTCGGTGTCATTTGCGCGTTTCGGCGATCAAGATGAGACATCGAGGCTGAAAATACAAGCGAATTGCCCGGCAAGCATAGAAATCATGAGGGAAATCGAGAAAGTCTTGAAAAAAGTGGGATTAAAATTCTTGATCAAGATCAAAACCGATGTGGCCAGCTATGTGTCGTGGTGGGCGAATGAGAATGGGCATGATTGGATTCGATTTGAGAGTCCGTTGAAGGGAAAAGTCGAGAAAATCGATGAGTTGGCGGATAGGCTCAAGGAAATGAATGTGACACGGGACTAGATTTAGTCTTTAAGGTGTACTTTGTGCTTGGCTTTTGGAGACACAAACTTTCCAGCACATTTGACCCTTGATCGTGTAAACCTAGAAAGTAAACCTACGTTTATAAATTCATCCCTAGAATCATCCTTTTTTCTTTAAAAACAAGCCTAAACTTTACTTTTTTTATTCATCAAATTCTCAAGTACTGCATTAAGGCAATTATTTTTTCATTAAACCAATTACCGTATTCTCTCTAATAGTAGTTGCTTTAATTGCTCATTGGCTCACTATAATTGTTTCATTTTCAGTTTCATTTTCGAGATCTAGCAAAAATTGAGCTCAAATTTGATTTGCATGGCTTTTTTTTATACTTTACTGAATCTTTGCGTTTGATTTTTGCAATTTTACAATCTTTCATTTGACCTAAATTTCCTCTTTTTCCTTTCAGTTGCACTTTTGTTCTAAATTTTGCCATTTCTTAGCGGAAAATTCTGCATTTAATTATGATACTCATTCAAAATCTTGTCAAACCTTTTGTTAATAAATTTTGTTAAAAATTAATGAAAATTTCTATACAAATACGGCAAAATAGGGTAAATTGGCTTTCAAAAAAAAAGTGGAATACGATAAACAATTGGTTTTAAAAAAGTTTCATATAGTAATTTTGGTCTAAAAAGCTATTAAAAGCCTGAAATTCTTTCAAAAAGCCAAATTTTAAAAGTTTTCTTTTACTTGTTTCAAAGTTCTGAAACTTTTCGACTTTTGTTTTTCTTCTCGTGATTCTCGATCAGTCATTTTAAAAAGTACGTGCAGCACCAAAGAACACATAAACCTTGGAAACCCTTCAAATCGTCTCTATCTAAAGAAAAGAAAAATTTTAGAGGTCATTCAGCCATCTTTTTTTCCAGTTTTTCTGTCCTGTCCCATCAAAATTTCCATCAATATTTTCAAGATGACACAAAATGTGATCGAACCGTGGAAACAAAGGACCCAAGATGAATATAGAGAGGTGAGAACAGTCAGAGAAAGGGTAAAACTCAATTATAAACCCGTTTTTAAATGCAAATTACAAGAAAAACAAAACTAAGCATCGAATTTAGCCTTTAGATATTGGAAAAATAAAGAGACTCCGTTTAGAATCAACTTTTAGATCAAACTAATCGGTCAAGGCGCGTACGGAGCCGTTTATCAAGTCGAACACCGAGCAACCGGGCAAACGGTGAGTGAAACAATGGCACTGAAGCATTGGATTTTCTATTTTCTAGCTGAACACATTACATTTGTACTTATTTTTAGTTAGAAAGTGATCAGTTTAGTAAGACCAATTATAAAATCCTCTAAGCATTGTTAAATGTGGAATTTTTGACTTAAAAACACTGCGTATTTTACATTGAAGATGGGGATGCAATGTAAAGCACTGAAAGAAGCTTTCTAACACACTTTACTATATATAAAAGAGCAATGTCTGTCTGTCCGTCCGTCTGTTCTCGGCTGCTCGTGGGTCGATTTACATGATTTTTAATTTCTTAGGCTTAGAATTCTATGTAGTTTTTTTTTTTTTTTTTTTTTTTGATCTGTCTTCGCACTCAGGTGTTCCTATTTGCGCAGATCACAACCTGCTTCCACATTTCTCTATCCCTTGCTATTGTCATCCAGTGTTTCCTAGCTTGATTGTTCCTGGTTCGAAGTCTTCGACTTGCTGGTGCTGGTGGTGGTTGCAGTCTAGCCATCCTTTCTCTGACCGTCTCTGCCATTCTTGTGCTCCACCTCGTTGCTGGTCTTCCGACTGGCCTCTTCTGGTCTCGTGGTAGCCACTCTATGATCCGTATCGTCCATCTGTCGTCTGTTCTTCTGGCTACGTGACCGGCCCATCTGAGTCTTTTTCTCTCAATCACTTCCACTGGATCTCTGAGTCCCGAGAGCTGGCGCATGTCCGTACTTCTTAGGTCCTGGTCGAGCTGCGTTTCTATGTAGTTGTGCATGTGATATTTCGTTTTTTTAAAAGCAAAAGTCGGATGTCGAGTCCCGTGTGGGGGCCCATAGGGGGGCATAGGTGGGGGGGGGGGGCATCTGGAGGGGGCATAGGGCGGAGGCCCCTAGCGGGAGGAAAGCGGGGGCATAGAAGGCGGGCACATTCGCGCGAAAAAGTCATTTCTATAGGTTTTGAACGGGAAAAGTACCAATCGACGTAAAAAAAGCATCCTGATTCCAAATATGGAACTCTTTTTGAAATCCGTCTGACTGAATTTTTCAAATTCATTTTTTTCTTGCGCGGATGTGGCGGGGGCCATAGGGGGCCATAGAGAGGGGGATCGTGTGCGCCGTCGCTACTAGCGTCCTCTCGACTGCGCCATGGCGACTATCCGGCAGCTCCAAAACATCCATTTAAGCGGTTTTTTTTGCTGTTTTTGATAACATAAACCATTACATAGACCGTGAATACTATAAAATCCCCTGGATTAGCAAAACGTACCAAAGTTGGGGTTTTTTTTTACTCTAAATGACTAATATCAGTTCCAGTTTGCGCTGAAGAAAGTGGTGATTCGTGTCTCCGATGAGGGAGTGCCGCAAAGTATGCTTCGAGAAATCTCAACCCTCGTCAAGTTCAAACGATTCAAACATCGAAATCTCACAGAGTAAGTGGGGAAATCCAAAGAAATACTTGAAGAACGAAACTACAGGGTGTTCAATAATTGCCCGGATTCGGTATTTTAAGTGTAAGCACTCAGCTGTGCAAGCGTGAATCAGCGGTGGGCTAGGGGATAGTGTGCCGGACTGCAGAACTCATGCCTCTTTCTGCGGTGGGTTCGAGTCCCGCCACCGACGAACTTCTTTGCTTTTATGAAAAACAGACCATTACCATTTTTAAGGCTATTACAGTACTCTTTACAGTACAGTTAGAGGAGCACAGGCAATTTTTAATCTTAATCAAAAAACAATTAAAGAACAATCAACAAAAAAGTCTGTCACCAAGACACAAAGTCCAATTTTAAAAAGATCATACCGCTGATGCCAATCAATGGTGGGTCTAAAACCCAGCGCAAGGAGCGGTACGGGTTTTGTAAGCCGGTACACTATCCCCTAGGCCATCGCTGCTCCGTTTCTGCTCGCGTGTAGCGCGCTGTTATTGGCTAGAGGTAAATGGTCGAAACTTCAGATGCATTTTTCTCGTCAGCATTTTAATTTGAGCAAAAATTGAATAGATATTTGGAATGCTGATATCTGACTGGTGTTTGCACTCCGAGTTTATTCTGAAACGACAGTTCCAGTTTCGATCATTCCCTTGTTAAACCCATGTGAAATCAAGATTCGTAAAATAGCAAAATTTTGACTAATTTAGGGTGAATTTACTTTTTGATTCGTTTGATAATGAAAGTAAAATGAAAAATGAAAAAGTAAAGTAGAAAAAGTATTGCAAAAACAAAAGAAAGCGCTTAAAGAAATGCTCAATCTTTGGCGTTTTCTGAAAATGAAAAGCCGCTAGAAATGAAAATTCTGGATAATTAATGAACCCTGTGAAATGAATGTGAATCCAAAATATACTTGAAAATCAAGAACGAAATCAAGAAACTTGAAATAGTGACATATCCCCAATTGCAGATTGATCGACGTTTTCGCCACGCAAAACAAGGATCACGAGCTGCACATTGGGATGATTTTGGAGAAATGCGACTGGGATCTCTACGATTTTATGCGAACAATTCCAAGGGATATGCCTGAGACACAAATAAGGACATTGGCAAGACAAGTAAGGGGGAAAACTGGATCAACTGGATTCAATAATTGGATCAACAACTTGAAAATAAGCTAAATTTTCATTTTTTATCGGAAATCTGATTTTTAAAGCTCTTTCCCAGCATTTCTGGTCGAACAAGCAGCCGGGATTTTGGATTTCTCGTAAAAACGGGATCGGCTTTTGATTTGGCTTTTGGAGATTAAGATTTAGATTTATTGGGTTGGTGAATTGAAAACTGCGGGACTTTGAACTAAAATTTATTGAACATAAAACCATCAATTGATTCCAAATAATCTCCATTATTATTGACAGCTTCTGCTCATTTTACAGGCAATTTGCGGATTCCTCTTTCGTAGTAGGATTTTGGTTTGTGTGTGAGACAAGTGTGAGACTCAAAAATGGAGGACTGGAGATGAAGACTGGAGATCCCAGTTTGAGCTCTTTCTTCAAAAGAAACCCATTTTGGTGTCAATAGAAAAGTTGTAGAGAATCAAAAATTAGGCTTATAGCCAAATTTCCAAAAAGATACACTCAGTAGTTTCGCTTAAAATGCAAGTTTTGTGAAAATTCGTAAATTTTGCATTTCTTGAAAATCAGTTTTTGAATCGTTCTGAAAATTTGGATATAAGCTTGATTTTTGATTCTCTACAACTTTTCCATTGACACCAAAATGGGTTTCTTTTGAAGAAAGTCCTCAAACTGTCACATATGACAATAGCCGGCAGTTTTCAATTCACCAACCCAATAGATTTGAAATATTAGGTTGATGCAAAAGTCTTTTTCATTTTTTTTCGTACTTCTGTTAAAAAGTAACAAATTCACGAATTAATCTATAGTTTGCTCTATAAAAAAAGTGTTTTTTTGTTCAATTTGCATCTTTTTAAATGAATTTCGGTTCACTTTCAAGCAAATTCGAGAGTGAAAAACGCCTTTTTCGTAAAAATCTATAAAAAACTCTACGGAAAAATTGGCTGAATGAATTTCTCTGAAATTTTGGCGAAATATCAAACGTTTTTTTTCTCTATCTTTTATCTATTGACACGAAGATAGGTTCTCTTTAGCTAAGGTGTCTAAACCGCATCATCGAGTTAGCCCTTTTTGACTACCCGACTTCATACTCTCAAGAAAATCCAGGCATTCAATATTTTTAAACCCGTTTTAATGTTATTTTGCAGAAAAATAATTGCTTTTTCTAATGAAATCAACCGTAGTTTAATTCGTGCATTTGTTGGCTTGAAACGGCAGACGAAAAGGAACGAAAAGACTTATGCATCAACCTAATAGTTTTTAAATCAAAATCTAAGTTAGAGAATTTAGAGCTTAGAGAAATTTGAAGTTTTTCGACAAAATCTTCATGTTTCTGGTTTCAAAATTCCAAAATAATCTCAACATTTTTCAGATAATCAACGGAATCTCATTCTTGCATTCGCACAACATCATCCATCGGGATCTAAAGCCGCAAAATATTCTCATCAATCGGTAAATTTGAAAGAGAATCAAAAGGAAATCTAAAGAGAATCTAAAGAAAATCAAGTAAATGTGAAAATCTAAAAATCTCAAAACTTTTAGCGTTTACCTTGAAAGCTGAGGTGGGTTTTTTGGAGTGATGTGATCAATTTTTCTTCCCGATTTCATTTTCCTTTCTTTCTTGGGTTTTTCAGTTGCTAATAACTACTATAATTAATCAGTATTAATCTCGAATCTTATTTCAACGTTTTCAGGAATTTGTCCGTGAAGTTGGCTGACTTTGGATTGGCTCGACTTGCGTCAGCGTGCGCTCAATTCACAACTGTGGTGAGTGATTTGAAATGAAATTCGAAGCCAGCCAGTCGGCAAATTATAAAGCTGATAATATTTATTATAAAGCTGACAATATTATTATCAATTACTGGATAGATTTGTTGTTGGAAAGAACTATTCTTACTGCATAATCCTATAGGTTTAACCTGAATAACTTCGAGATTAAAAAAAAAGCCTTAACAAGAACTTTTCTAGCTTTCTGATCCAAATGAAGACGATTTCTTTTATCAGAAATTTCCAGTAGCTAAGATCTTTTGAGTTTAGTAATGCCAGCAGTAATGCCAGCAGTAATGCCAGCAGTAATGCCAGCAGTAATGACAGCAGTGATGCTAGCAGTAATGCCAGCAGTAATGCCAGCAGTAATGACAGCAGTAATGCCAGCAGTAATGACAGCAGTTTTACGTTTGATAAGATCGCTGAAAAGAATCATTCACGAAAGACATCTTCATCACTTTTAGGTTGTCACTTTGTGGTATCGAAGCCCGGAAGTTTTGCTGCAAACGACATACGGAAGCTCGGTGGATGTGTGGGCATTTGGGTGTATTCTCAGCGAGATGTACAATCGACAAACCCTTTTCCCGGGAAGAACCGAGGCCGATCAGTTGAAGATCATCGTCAAGTGAGTGATAGAAGCTTGGCTAAACTGTTGGACTTTTCTGAAGGCTAAGCTTTTAGAAGGATTTACAATTGAAGATGTTTTAAAGCGAAATCTTCTAAAGTCAAAGAGTTTCAGCAAAATGGGTAAACCATCCGAATCGGATTGGCCATCCGACGCAATAATCCCTCTGTCATTCTACGAGTGGACACCGCGCCAATCACTCTATCAACTCAATCCAAAGCTTTCACAAGCTGCTTGTCGCTTCATTGAGAGTAAGTTGATAAAAATGGATTCGTTGAAAACTCAAATTCGATGATTTGTTGATAATTAGACTTTGAAATTGACTGTAATTGGCCTACAAGATTTAGTTGCTCACCAGAACTTTAGCTTCAAAGAAATACCGTTTTTGAGCAACTTTTTTTCTTCAAAAGCGCTTTTTCTAGGGCAGTTTTTTGTGTAGATTACGAATTTCATAGTGAAAGCTTGAGGAAATACGTTTTAGATCGACTTTTAGAGGCTTGAAGTCGCCAGCTCTATACTGTACTTTATTGTAATGTTCCTATAAGAAGGCTCAAAAGAAAGAAAGGCTCAAGAAAGAAAGGCTCAAGAAAGAAAGGCTCAAGAAAGAAAAGAAAGAAAGGCTCAAGAAAGAAATTTCAGAGTGTATCCGATGGAATGGTGACATGAGATGCACAGCGTTGGAGGCGCTCAATGACAGCTTTTTCGACGGTCCATACTCACAAGGATACGAGAATCTCTTCGATGAACCACTACCAAATGCTCATCAACAATGAGCTTTTGTGTATGTAAAAATCTTCATATGCAAATATTTGCAAATCCCCAAATTTAAGAGGCCCACCCGCCTCGTGGATTCCCATTTTTGATCTCTTACTCGTGCGTGTTTATGTGAAATCCCTCTTTTCCTCCCCATTCCATACCTCATTCAGTATTTTTCTTGTTAAATCACGGATTTGTTGTGCTCTCTATTTTTGTAATCGGGTTTTGATCGGTATCTTATGATATTTTTGAGCAACTTGTGCATAGAAATATGAACAAATTGCTTTCAAGATAACTTTTTATGCGCTGAATACAGATTTGAGGGGATCACACTGATTTTCTTTTATATTGAAGTTTATGTCCCCTCTCTATTGAATTAAGAGAGCTTACTTAGCCATCGAAAGCGCAAAAGGGAATTTCCCAATAGTCAGAATTGATAAATTCCATATTTGGAATATAAAAATAAAAAAAAATTTAAGTGTTGAAAGATCAAAATAAAAAGAAAAACAAAGGATGGAATGAAAAACAATGGATTGAACCCAACCAAAAAATGAGCAAATCGCTTCGTATAGAAGTCCTCTACTCACTGCGCCGCTAGTCCACATTTGGTCAGCACTGCGCTATGTGGGAACCCCATTTTGGCTAGGAAAATTTCAGCGTTGTGTGGGAACCCCATTTCAGTTTTTTGGCTACAAACAAACTTTGTAACTTATGATAGAAAGTCATTTTGCAAAAACGGAAAGCAGATTCGGAATTGGCGTGAAATTCTGCATCGAATGGTCTGGGTCTCGATCCAAAAAGCTCACCTTAAGTTGGTGCATTTCCCTTGTTAGTTTTACAGAGTGGCTCATAATTATAGGTGCAGATAAAAAGCTTTGTAGGTAGACAAAATTAAACTTTAGAGAGCTAACTTTCGTTTTAAAAACTTCATTTGATATAAATGAAGAGCAAAGTAAGAATTAAACTCAAAGTGATCACCATTTTTGGCCGAGCACGGTGTAAAGTGTTTAGGAAAGGAGCAAACAAGCATCATCGAGTTCATCCCAGGCTTTCAGAAGACTTTTCTGCAAACTTTTAACATTTTCATGCGGTTTTGAGCAGACTTTTGCCTCAAGGACCTGCCAGATAGAGTCATTCATTCTGCTGGCTGGCTGCTGGCTGGCTGGCTGGCTGCTGGCTGGCTGGCTGGCTGCTGGCTGGCTCCAGATCTTGACCCAAAACCCACAATTGCCCTTAGAATGCCTCTCAGGAAATAAACAGACAAAATATTTTTCAAGCGTTTTTCTGGAACAATCTTTATATTGGATTGATTGCAATAAAAATTCTAGAAGTTTGAGGACTTTTTCATTTATTGTGTCGTAGCTGATTATGAATGAAATTTTTTCGCAAACCTTTCTAGTAGAGCAACCCTTTAATGTCTGAGGAAAATATTATATCATTTATTAGCGAATTGAATTCTGCGTCGATTGCTACCAAATTTGTGAGTTTAGTTTAAAAATTGCGTACAACGCAATTTTTAATGCGACCCCCGTAGCCGATTATGAATGAGTGGATCTAGAGGCGTTCAACCATCAAGTATTTGGTATCATTCAACGCAGAATCATTGATAATTTTGTTAAATTTTTTAAATTAGAAAGATTTGATAAAAAGAAAAAGAATTAGAGCATAAAAGCTGTTTGTTCGAGAGAAAACTTTGAAGCTCCGTAATTTTTTTCTTTTCACCAAATCTTGCTAATCTTAGAAATTTAACATAATTATCAATGTTTCTGCGTTGAATGATACCAAATACTTGATGGTTGGACGCTCCTAGACGCTACTAGACCCAAATACTTGATGGTTGGACGCTCCTAAACGCTACTAGACCCAAATACTTGATGGTTGGACGCTCCTAAACGCTACTAGACCCAAATACTTGATGGTTGGACGCTCCTAACCCCTACTTGGTCCACCCCCCCCGCCAGACCCAAATACTTGCTGGTTGGACGCTCCTAGACGCTACTAGACCCAAATACTTGATGGTTGGACGCTCCTAGACGCTACTAGACCCAAATACTTGATGGTTGGACGCTCCTAGACGCTACTAGACCCAAATACTTGATGGTTGGACGCTCCTAGACCCACTCATTCATAATCGGCTACGACATATATCTAGTTTAGCGTTTTCTTCAACCAATTCCGGCAATTTGAAATTGACTGTTGATGCAACTAAGCTTTAGGAAAGTTACTCGAACAACAAGAAGAATTATTAAACTGCTCATGATTGTGTGAAGACATCCGATGAGTGTAGAAAGGGATAAAAATGAACAAAGGACAAGTGAGAGCCTCACTTCTCTTCCTTCTCTTCTCCTCCTAATCCCAAGGACTGTCCCTTCTCGGCGATGAAAAGGATAAGCACATGGGAGAACACATTTACAGAAGAATAAACAAATCATTCAATAATAACAATAGTAACTAAGATATCACTAACAGATGTTCCCTTCCTCAATTTTCTATTCAATGACATTGTCAATGAAGCCTCTTCTATCAGGATCTTTTCGGAAAGTAAACAAATTCATTTTATTTGTATTTTTCTAGAAATTTCTTGAAATGAATAGCTTCTTTGCAATTGTTTCTGACGGTCATCATCAGAAAGAGAACCAATTGGTTCAATATTTCTGATGCTAATCTGACCTCTCGGTGCTTGTCAATCCTTGTTTTTGCAGTTAAACTTCGAATGATGTTCAGTATAACTAAAATGTAGCTGCAACTAAAAATGGTTGTTAATTCAGCTTGTTGTTTTGCTCTTTTCATCCCAGAATTTCTACTTTTTTTTAAGATGGATTTTTTATTTAGATTTTTCCAGATTTGCATACTTTAGTTACACAGATAGACTCAAAATTTTTGATCTTAAATCTCTTAGACACTGCCGCTTGGTCACGGATTTAATAGAATGTTTCAAAACTGTAAAGGGCAGGCAACCTATCGCTCTTTTTCGAGATTTATTCAAAGTTAATCCCACGGTTAGTTCAAGGAGAGGTTCTTTCGTTTTAGAAATTCCAGTCACCTCCAATAAGTTTGTGTATAACTCTTTTCCAATAAGAACTGCCAGAATTTGGAATCGGCTCCCCAGAGTTTTGAGGGGGTCCAATAGTCTCGAAACCTTTAAATTATCTGTAGATGATCTTGATCTTGAAGCTCTAGTGGATTCTTGATCTACCTTGATCTTGAGTTATCTGTGCTACCCATAATTACATACAGTCGAACCTCTCTATAACGAACCTCGATATAACGTAAACCTCTCTATAACGTAAGGCGTGACCGGTCCCGGCCGACGTTAAGCTATATAAAACGGCACTCTATATAACGTAAACCTCTATATAACGTAAGCTATAGCCGTCCCGTGAGTTACGTTATAGAGAGGTTCGACTGTATATTATATCGTGTTGCTTTTTTCGCCTTTTTCGTGCTATGTGTATGAATTCATGTGTTTTAATCTTAAATCTAACGCACTTTATCTCAGGTCCTGAATAAAGTATCTATATATTCCTATGTATGCCGTAAAAGCTCTAATAGAAGAGCCCCTATAGGAGCGTCGCGTAGTCTAAGTTTACGCTCAAAACGCCGCTCATATCTCGGCACCCAGACATTTTTTTTTCACAGCACTTAAAAAAATGATTGAAAAATCGGCTTTTTTTGCCAATTATACTTTTTTCTGTTGTGTTGCATACCGATAACGTTCGTGTAAATAAATTGTACATATATTTGTGTAACTAAAACTATTAATGGCTTAAAGAGCGCCATGAACTTTATCGAAGAAACTTGATGAAACTTTTTAGAAAATTGAATGTGAAAAGACTTTTGCACATGACTGAACTTTCGGATGGTTAGTCTTTTCTTTTCTTGAGAAGTGTTCAAAGGAATGGTACGTATATGAAAGAAAACTTAGACTACGTGACGCTCCTCTATTAGAGCTTTTACGGTACTTTGTCCATGTTCGCTTTCCGGTATATTATTTTCAATTATTCCTAATTATTCTCAATTTCAGGCATGAATCCCGACGAGCCAGCTCCCCTATTGGAGGACATCTATTCCCAGATCCAAATCGGCGAATTCCTCGAGAAAACGAGTCCGCAAAAGTTGCTCACTTTAGAGAAAATCTATCTCACTTGCAACCCGATTGACCCAAATATGGGACGAAAGATTTTTTTCATCGGAAAAACTCTGCCAAGCGGTTGGGATCCCGAGTGGGAACCCTGTCGAAACGGCCTAGATCCCACGAGATTCTTGCAAAACATGAAAATGGAGTGCGCAAGAGTTCAGGACCACTATGAGAGGAATATCGAGAATTACGAAGATATCTCAAAACTTGAAGGCCAAAAGCGATTGGCTGAGGAAACGGGAGCACTCGGTAGCAGCTTCATTCTCCACTACTACGGTCTAAGAAAGGAATTCATTCGTAAACAACTGGCTGAGGGATGGCTAGCGTTGGCTAAAGCGCTAAATGATGGGAATTTCGGGGTGGATATGGTAATCTCGCTGTCATTTGCGCGTTTCGATGATTGTCCTGATCACCGAAACGCGACATCAAGGCTGAAATTACGAGCGAATGGCCCGGCAAGCATAGAAATCATGAGGGAAATCGAGAAAGTCTTGAAAAAACAGGGATTAAGTTTCTCGATCAAGATCAAAACCGATGTGGCCAGCTATGTGTCGTGGTGGGCGAATGAGAATGGGCATGATTGGATTCGATTTGAGAGTCCGTTGAAAGGAAAAGTCGCGAGAGTCGATGAGTTGGCGGATAGGTTGAAAGAAATGAATGTGACACACGGGACTAGATTTCGTCTTTAAGGTGTACTTTGTGCTTGGATTTCGGAAACACACTCTTTCTAGCACACTTGACCCTTGATCTTGTAAGCCTAGAAAGTGTACGCTTACAAATTCATCCTTAGAATCACCCTTTTTTCTTTAAAAACGAGCTTAAATTTTACTTTTTTGTTTATTAAAGTCTCAAGTACTGCATTAAGGCAATTATTGT